TGTTTCAAGGACAATCTATTATCATGCTTTCTGGGCTAAGAGAATGTTCAGTTAAGGTCAGTTGGAAAACCGGTGTCCCAGCAGGTATTTCCAATTAGATAATGACTTTCTGTAACTGTCTCTGTATCTGGCCCGGGCCTTATGGAGACTATTGATCTGCTTATTGAGCCAAATTTTGCATTACTATAAATTACTTGGGCAATGCTTACAGCTTAGTACCTCACTCCTTAAATTAAAAGTGTATGACGGAAGCAGGAGTGACCCAGGGATCAAAAAATACAATTAGCGTGCATCTCTTTTCGGTAGAAAAATGAAAACAACCCATAAGCCATATCCAACTGAACTAGAAAACAGTACAGGAAGAAAATGAAATTGACTATTATTTGTACATTATCAGGTAAGCCCATTGTTCTCACTAAACTTTTTATGATTATGGCAAGAGGCTTGTATGAGATCCTGAGGGACATGCCAATGGGCCCCCTAACGTTTCAGCTTAAGGGAGACCTAGTCATATTCCTATTTTGGAGACACCTCTGGCTGCTGCAGCATTTCCTAGCATCCGCTGGCTTTATTTGAAACACAGTGAAAATTTAACTTGTTTAGATTTTTCCAGGGATCAGACAAATTCAATGTGCTGCTGTTAAAATGTCAGGAAGGAGGGTCAGGTATTCCAAAATGGATGTGACATTTTGAGTAGACCGATTCTTATTCTTCTTGTGCTCCAGGTGTCAGGAAATAGCCTTTCCAATTTTCAGGTGCAGCTGGGGTGGAATTCTCTCAAAAGGAACAGGTGGTTCCACTGCCTGGGCTCACAATTCGTTTATAGGCCACAGGAGCCCGAGGGCGAATGTGGTATGGCTGTTTTTTTCTGAGCAAGTAGGACCCAAAGGAGGTTGGGGCACAGCATGGAATAACTTGGTCTTTCTCTTGTGGCCCTTGATAGCTCTTCGAAGGACTGGTTCTTTCCCTGCCTCTGCATGACATTTCTGGTAGACCCCAAAGCCCTGCCTGCCCTTCCGTGCCATAAGAGGAGTGTCATTGCAGCAACCAGGTGACCAGTCGAAATATTCACATTCCAAGCTCTTAACCAAGTGAGAACGGTATTGGGTCAGGTGTGAAATCTACAGTGGGGCAGGGGTCACGACTGGCTGCATGTGTCATCCCTCAACCCCTAGTCCCACCTTGCGCTCTCCCCTTGACTGGCTGCAGTTTCTGACCCTTTCAGAGTGATGCCCCAGGGGCAAAGGAGGGTAGGGGAAACTGGCACAGTCACGTTTCATGATCTGGCATTGTGACATTTGGGCTTGGTGGATGCTCAAGTTAACTCTCTGGGCAATTTTGTGGGTTTCCTGGAGAGTCGCCCCCCCCCATCCAGGAATGAGAGCCCCCACCCGTCGTAGCTTTCACCATCCTGAAGGTGCTTCCTTCAACTGCCACTTCCCATCCCCTTCCTTAAGCCCTGCACCTCCATCAGGAGGTCCCTCTGCAGTCATTCGGCCCCACCCACAGGGAAGGCTCCCAAAGAGAAGCCTTTCGACATGACCCCATGCTCGATCCTCCCTCTGGTCCACCTGACTCCAAGGAAAACACACATCCTTGTCCCTCTCTGGGGCACAAGCTGCTCTGGCTCTCTCTCTGCTTGGCCACTTTAGACCAACAGCCACAGTCTGTTCCCTCTCAATTTCTCTATGTGTGTCCTATACCAGTGCCTTGTGTCCCTGAGCTCCAGGGAACACTTAAATTTGTGAAATAGGCCCTTGATACCTCTGCCACTTGGCTTACGGCAAGGAAAAGCACCCACCATGATTTCTGGAACTTTAGTTCTGTAATACTCCTAAGGGAATTCTTTTATATGCTTCTTCAACTCTTGATCAGCCTTCCAGATACCTATTAAATATATGCCAGATATTCATGACTATCTGTCACAAAACTAGTTTTGGCCATCTCCTTTCCAAGTTCCATAATACATCTCCTTCTGGAAACTTATTATTTTAGTTTAAGCATTTGGACCTCACCTAAAATGGAGACGGTGAGAATCCTATTTTAGTATCCTTTTACAGTTGCTAGCCATTACCAAACAAGAGCTTGCTAACCTGAAAAGAAGTGATATCAAATGCATTTGTAAGGCGCTATCATGCGCACAGAGAGAAGATTATTCTGACAGGTTATACTGACAAAGCTTCAGAGGCAGATAAGGACCCAGCAGGCAAGAGTGTAGGATTGATTAGTAATGTCTGCAGTGTGCTGGCAAGGTCATTACACGGGGCTAGAAGTCTGCCATCCCAGTAGCTGCTGGAAGCCTCAGTATCAGTTCAGATTTTGCATCCTGTTCTTGGGCTTTCCTGGTTTGCTAATCTGTAAGACTTATTTTTTTCTTTCAAGAGGTATACAAAAGGGAAAATAATTTGACCAGAAGTGGTTGATTTCTTCCTCGGCAGTAGGTCAGATGGACCAGTGTCCGGGGTGGTAGCAGTGTCAGCTTCCTGCCTCCCCCTAAGTGGGACCATAAGGAAATCAGTTTGCTTAACTCTGTCCCAGCCTGACATATAGACCTGACCAAAATCAGGGTTAAAAAGTAGCTAAGAGTGGCTTGAAGGGAAAAGTAAGTGAGCTAATAACAGATTTCTCCAGTAGAGGGAGTCTGACTCTTTGCTGGTGGTGATTAACGTCTACAATAAGCTGTAATTGTTAGGAATAGATTTGGCTGAATATAACAGAAAAACCCAAAATATCAGTGGCTAAAACAAGATAGAAATCAATTTCTCTCTTATGTACAAGGTAGGCAATACTAGGTCTGATATTGTGGCTCTATGGTGTCATCAGCATGTAGGCTTCTACTCTCTATTCTCAAGGTCACCTCATGGCCCAAAATGGCTGCTGGAACCCCAGCCATCCTGTCTGCATTGTAGGCTAGAGGAAAGAGGGAAGATCAAAGGGTAAGAAAGATCCTCTTTCAAATCAATCCACTCCCTTTCAACAGCCTTCCTGGAGTCAGACCTGACAGTTTTCTGCACCACACAAGTAATACCACAAAAGCATTATGGTTTGTTTTTTTAAAATAGATTTTAAATATGTATTTCTCCAGTTTCTTCTATTTTTAAATTATAAACACAATGACCTTTCCAAATGACCGAATGTCACCTGAGGATCTTTGATTTTTTCATTGGTTGTTTTCATTACATTTAGGGGAAGGAGAGAGGAGGTAGAGACTAATGACAAAAATTGATTCTTCTTTCCATTTTCTCCAACTTGTGCTTAGCTAAGCACTTCTAATCTTCAAATAGGATTCTTCTGGCTAGAGAGCAATGCAAATGTCCCCAAAGCAATTAATCTCAGAAATCCATACATCCACAAATCAGGAGTGCTAACTCATTTTGACCACCTAAACACTCTTCTTCTAAACTAATTTTTCTATAATTAGTATATCTGATGTTCATATTAAAAATATACTATAAGTTACTTTATAAAAAATGTGTAAGCTATCACTGATATTTAAGGTTTATACTAACTGTAGTGAGGTCGGGCTCCAAGTATGTTTTGTATTTGTTCGAATGTCTAGCTATACTTGTTTTTGAAATGTCTTTAAGTTGTTGTCATTTCCCTTAAAACCTATTCTTTCTTGTTTTTTTCCTATTTCAATAGGATACCACCTGGTTGCTCAAACCAAAACCCAATGTGTTTTGAATGAATAAAACATATTTCTTCCCCTAAGAAATATTTCAGGAACAAAGATGAGTATTAATAGACTATATGTCACTAGGAGTTAATCTTACCTTTTATCTTATTTTATAATTGTGAGTATATTATATTTTTAATTAATTAATTTGTTGTCATGCTATAAATATCTCCTATATTACATGTGTGATACAGTAGCTACTTCTATTATAAATAATTTTATTCTTGTGCTGGAGACTACAGTGTATACTTCTCAAGCAAAGTTTGCCCATTTCTGCTTAAAATGAAACTGAGTCTCAAGGAAAAGCATGTAAGCATCCCAGTATACTGAAATCAATAGTGGGAAAAATTATTTTGCTGATTTACCTTTTTTTTTTTTTTGAGACAGAGTCTCACTTTGTTGCCCAGGCTAGAGTGATTTACCTTTAATTTAAATGATATCACTAAATGATACACACAAACCTGACACAATGTATATGTTCTGACATTCTCTAATAATAAGACAGCTGTATAAACTTAAATCATTTTATTCATTAAGTTTAATTGGCAATGATATTTTTGATTTAAGTTAACTGCACATAAAAGGCCATATGTGAAAAAAGTCTATGCCATTCTAAAATTGTTTGTTATATTAAAATGCTCTTTTACCTTCCTCCTCCTAGACGTAATTCTTAAAGCCTTAAGTTCTACTGTATGCATATACTGCTGTGTAGGTTCTACTCTATTTTCTTTTCGGGCTATCACTGAAGACCTTGCTGATTACTGGTGCTAGGTTATGGAATCAGACCCAGTATCTCGGCTTTATGAGATGCAGGTCACGGTCAAGGTAACTGTTAGAGATGGTCCCAGTTCTCTAAGAACCTGGGAAATGAATTCAAACAACTAAAAATGGAACTGGAATCAATGTTTTGTTCCCCAGAATAATCCACAATCGAGACAGTAGGCACTGGAGAGTTTTCCACAAAAAATGCACAAACATTGAGTACTTGAATGCATGACTTAGAAGCCATACGCAGCATAGACCTTACTGATGACTTTGAAATGCTATCTTGTTGCTTAGTATGGATGCATGAAAAGACCAGTTGTAAGATACAATCCTTTCTGCAAAGGATTCTAACATTTTTTTTTAAATAGTAAATAGACTCAGGAAGACATTTTCTTAATCTTTATTTAAATCCAAAGGCCTTTACTAATCCTTCTTGAAGGATTCTGTAACAGTTTCTTAACAATCACAAACTTTCCTAAGGAGCTAGGATCATAAAGAGAATTCATTCGTATGAGAAAACACGTCTTCCATACAGAACCTGTACTTCCAAAGAGATGAATTACTATATATATAAATTTTATTGGCTTTTACAGTGGAAATGGTAAATCATTGTACTATCATTCATTTACTGTCTCCAAATTTATAGCTATTTTTTTGTCAGGAATGCTCCTTGAAATAAAACCGCCTTCCTTTACTTTTCTATAGCAATGAGAAGAACAGACATAAAACATAACAGGAAGCTGTAATGCTCCAAAAATATCATAGGGTCGGATGACACGAAAACCGTTGCCAAACTTTGGACCATGGCACCAGTCACACCTAGATGTGCTAAAATGGAGGAAATAGCAAGTCAATATTTAATAAATGTCTACTAAAATAAAGACACTGTGCTTTATGCGATGCAAGACTCAAAGTGGTATAAAATATGGCATTTATATTTACTGAGCTTACCATCTAGATGGTGTACTTACCATTAAATGAAAAATTAAATGCTAAAAGAGCTAAACAATAAAGTAGATATATGTATATAATACAACCCTAACCTTTTAAAACAAGTATATATGCACAATATGAAAAGACTCTAAGCATAGATCCAAAATTAAAAACAGTTATTAACCTTGGAAAATGTGATGACAGGGCATTTTAAATTTCTTTACAATTTTTTTTTAATTTCCAAATTTTCTTTAATAATGACGTGAGATTTGTAATTCTTCGTATTTACCACCATGTCGTCCATAAATCATGCATTCCTATCACTTAACCACTTGTCTATGGGTTGTATCTTTTCTTACTGCTTTGTGGAAGAGACACAGTAGCCCCCCCCTTATCCAGGGGTTTCACTTTCCACAGTTTCAGTTATCCATGGTCGACGTTGGTCCAAAAATATTAAATGGAAAATCCCAGGAACAAACAATTCACAAGTTTTAAATTGCCCACCTGGGACAAGAATCATCTCTCTAGTCATCGTCTCGGCGCTGTAGACTCTGCCTGTCAGTCACTGAGTAGGAGTCTCAGTTGTAAGGTCAACCGTTGTGCTGTCACAGTGCTTGGGTTCAAGTGACCCTTATTTTCCTTAATAATGGCCCCAAAGTGCAAGAGTAGGGCTGCTGGCAAATTGTTATAACTGTTCTATTTTATTATTAGTTATTTTCATTAATATCTTACTGTGCCTAATTTATAAATTAAACGTTATGATGGGTATGTATGTATAGAAAAAAACACAGTATATAGAGGTTCAGTACTGTTTGAGGTTTCAGGCATCCATCAGGGGTCTTGGAACATATCCCCCTTATCTGTGGGATACAGGACGACTGTCTATATGTTTTTTAACTATTATAAGCTTTGCAATATCTTCTTCCAGTTCATGGCTTAATCCTCTAATTTCATCGATGGTGTCTTATGTTTATGGAAATATTACTCTTGTCAAATTTATGACACTTAGTTTACTGTTCACATTTTTTTTGTGTTTTGTTTAAGATATCTTTCTCTACCATGAAGTCACACAGATAGTCTTCTACACTTGCTTGTAAAGGCTTTAGAGTTTTGCTTTGGATTTTTAAATCTTTAATCCAAATGGAAGTGATTTTTGTATACAATGGTGGCAAACACATAGCAGGAAACTAATTTTATATTTTTTTCCTGGTGGATGACCAAATGTCTCAGCATCATTTATTGAAAAGTCTAGGCCGGGCGTGGTGGCTCATGCCTGTAAATCCTAGCACTCTGGGAGGCCAAGGCGGGAGGATTGTTCAAGGTCAGGAGTGGGAAATCAGCCTGAGTAAGAGCGAGAGCCTGTCTCTACTCAAAATAGAAATTAATTGGACAACTAAAAATATATAGAAAAAATTAGCCAGGCATGGTGGCACATGCCTGTAGTCCCAGCTACTCGGGAGGCTGAGGCAGGAGGATTGCTTGAGCCCAGGAGTCTGAGGTTGCTGTGAGTTAGGCTGATGCCATGGCACTCTAGCCTGGGCAACACAGTGAGACTCTGTCTCAAAAAAAAAAAAGAAAGAAAGAAAGAAAGAAAGAAAGAAAGAAAGAAAGAAAGAAAAGTCTATCCTTTTTCTACTGAGCCACAGTGCTATTTTTTTGAATATCAAGTTTTCCCATATGCATGGGAACATAATAAGTGGGCTATGTTTTCAGTTCCATTGGTTGATTTGCCTTTCCTTGCACCTAATACCATCCTGTATTACTTTCTCTAACTTTATAATAAGTTTTTTTTTTTACATTTTTTATTATATGTTATATTAAGTCTTGATGTCTGGTAGGCAAGCTGCTTTTCAGGCTTGTGTTGACTATTTTGGAGCCTCTGCTTTTCCATATACATTTAGCATCAGCTTATTAAGTTTCTCAGAAAGTTCTATTGAGATTTTTACCATAATTGCATTGAATTTAGCTCTATTTAGGGAGAACCAACATATATTTAATATTAAACCTTATTATCTCTGAATGTGTATATCTCTCCCAGTTAATTCAGCCTTCTTTACATTTTTATAAAGCTTTAATTTTTTAAATTAAAAATTTTGCACATATTTTACTTGCTATGTTCCTAGGTATATAATGTTTTTTCTCCTTATCATCAAAAAAAAAAATCTTTTCAAAAATACATTTCCAATTGTTTGATGTTTGGCTTTAGTTATATCTTATTTTTAACCCCCAGATAATAGGCATTGCTATTATTATAACTTCATAGAGAGGATGTTTGTTTACCTACATATTTTCCAATTTATTTTCTCACCGTTCTTCGTCCATCTCAGAACTTGCTTCTGGAGTTATTTTCCTTCTTTCCGATGCACATCCTTAGTAGCCCCCGTTACTGAAAATCTGTTGAGAGTTGATTTTGTGTTTTGGTTTCTCTGAAAATATCATTCTTTATCTTGTTCTTGAAAGTTACTTTTGCTGGGAAAAATATTTTTTCAGTCATCGTTCCACTATTGATGGCAGTTGATTTGTTGTTTTTTGTAAGTGATGATCTTTCCTGGATTATTTTAAGTCCTTATCTTTGTCTTTGGTATGCTTCAATTTCACCACAAGGTGTTGTTTTACTTAGCTTTTGTAAGGCGCTCACATCTTTCATTACTTCTGACAATTTGTAGCCATTAGCTCATTGAACAATGATTCCTGTCACTCTCTCTCTGCTCTCACTTTCATTTTTGTTTTTTGAGTTAGGGTCTCGCTCTGTCACCCTGGCTGAAGTACAGTGGCCCAGTCACAGCTCACTGCAAATTCAAACTCCTGGGCTCAAGCGATTCTCCTGGCTCAGCCTCTGGAGTAGCTAGAAATACAAGCATGCACCACCACATCCAGCTAATTTGTTTATTTTTTTTGTAGAGACAGGGTCTTGCTATGTTGTCCAGCCTGTTCTCAAAGTTCTGGCCTCAAGCAATCCTCCTGCCTCAGCTCCCCCAAAGTGCTAGGATTACAGGTGTGAGCCACCGTGCCTGGCCTGTTCTCACTTTCTGGATCTCTGAGTCCTCTTTTTTCTTCATCTCATTACCTCCTATCTGCATATTCACCATAATCTCTTCAGTGGTCTCTTCATGTGTGTATAATCTGCTTTTTAACTCATGTACCAAGTTAACTCCAACTATTACATTTTTAGTTTCTAGAATTTAAAATTTCATATTTTCCTGATCTTATTTGATGTTCTCTTATTCCAAAACTATTTTTAAAATTATATTTTTTCCTTAAGCACTGAGAGAAGGTATTTCATATTCTGTAAGCCATACTAATATCTTAGGTCCTTGGAGATTAGTATCTGTCGATTGTTTTTGCTGACTTTTATTCTTGGTGGCTTGTTTCCTCGTGTATTTGGAAATTTCTTTAAATCGTCAGATAATATTTATTTGAACTTAATTTTCTGGAATCTTTACAGTCAAAGTTGAGGATGTTTCTCTCACAAAAATTTTGTTCTGCCAGGAGAGAGGGAGTTCACTGCTCTGGGACCACTTAGCCTGTTCTTGAGTCCACATGTAAATTCGTGAATCTCAGGTGGAGTTTTCCTATCTTATGCTGAATCCAAATCTCACGGTCTCCTATCTGTTTAATACTCACTAGTTAGGTTTTAATTCTTTAAAAACTTTTTTGCCCTTGAAGATCTTTATTACTTTCTCACTTGCAATCAAGTTTCATGAGCATTGACATCTCAGTGCATTAAAATCAAAAACTTTTGAGCCTGGTGCCTTCTTTACCGGCAGATTTTAAACCACTCTTTCCAGTTTATCTAATAGATACTAGTTTGTTCAGGTTTTCTACCTTTTATTGAGTCAATATTAGTAACTTATATATTCCTAGGAAACCTATCTTACTTAGGCACGTAGCAAATATTTGTTAAATTATTAACCTAAGTACTAATGGTCAACATGTTAGTAAAAATGGTCTTATATCATCTGAAGGAAGTAAGAGACAAGCCTAAGTGAACTGTGAGCGTGTGGAGTTTAAGAGCCGTAGTCCTGAGCTGAGGCGATGATTCCAACACTGGTCATTGACACCTAGGGAAAGAAATTGTTCAAATTGTTCCATGTGTGTCTGCCCTACTCCTGGTCTCTGTGACAGTAGAGTGGAGTAAAACATTTCCCTATATAGTGTGCCTGGAACTAAACAGTTGTTTTGGAAGAACCCATTTCTACATACTTAGAAATTCATAGAAAATATTTATGTGACAGCCATATATAGATATTGTGAAAAACACCGCAGCAGTTCACACTTCACATTGAATTTAAGTAATAGCTTGAGAATATCTTAAAAATGGGATTGAATTATTACCCCTGAAGAGCTGGAAGCAGCAATTTTGAAGGACTGTGTGTATGGTTTTGTGTGGAGTGTGTGCATGTGTGTTACTAAAATGGCCATCTGGGCCTGAAATGAAGGACATTTTAAATGCTTAAAAGTGTGTTTTGGTTAAAAGGGCTTCAACATCTGCTCACCATTGTAGTAACTTTTGAATTTTTACTGGAATATCATCATAAAGTCGCTGTAGATTATTTTTGACAATGAAGAAAGCAATAATTTGAGTAAGTCGTTGTGGATTATTCAAAGAATTTTCTTTCCAAAAGCAAGGAAGAATGAAATTATTCTCAATGTGAATTTTTATCAGGTTAAGCTTCAGAATTCCACTTGGGAGAAAAGACAATTCAATCCCATCGATATTCAGTTTTTCAAGTGACCTATAAATAAAGGAAACCATATTTTAAAAAATATTAATACAATTCATAATATTGAAGTAAAATTCTGCCTCAATGTTGTTGAAAATTGGTATCAAATTTAGTAGCAATAAAACACAAGTGTGTATTTAAGTATTTCCTTGGAATTAAGAGAATTTATTTATAAAGCAATTTAACCAATATTATTATGCAAATAAGTATATTTCTGTGAATAGCACAGCCTAGAATATATCTTTCAACTTTTTGCAACATCTTATCTCTATGGAAAACATTGTTTGTTTGTTTACTTATTTATTTTTTCAGCATATTATGGAGGTACAAATGTTAAGGTTATGTATATTACCCTTGCTCCCCCTCCCCCCTTGAGTCAGAGCTTCAAGTGTGTCCATCCCCAGTTGGTGCGTAATGCACTCATTATGTATGTATATACCCATCCCCTGCCCCCCATCTGCCCAACTCCTGACAGATGTTATTCCTATATGTCCACTTAGGTGTTGATCTGTTAATACCAATTTGCTGGTGAGTACATGTGGTGCTTATTTTTCCATTCTTGGGATACTTCACTTAATAGAATGGGTTCCAGCCAGGAAAATACAAGAGGTGCTATATCACCATTGTTTCTTATAGCTGAATAAGTACTCCATGGTATACATATACCACATTTTATTAATCCACTCATGTATTGATGGGCACTTGGGTTGTTTCCACACCTTTGCGATTGTGAACTGTGCTGCTATAAACATTCAAGTGCAGATGTCTTTTTTATAGAGTGACTTTTGTTCTTTTGGGTAGATGCCCAGTAGTGGAATTGCTGGATCAAATGGTAGATCTACTTATATTGCTTTAAGGTATCTCCATATTGCTTTCCACAGAGGTTGAACTAGTTTACAGTCCCACCAGCAATGTAGGAGTGTCCCCATCTCTCCGCATCCACATCAACATTTATTGTTTTGGGACTTCTTAGTAAAGGTCATTTTCACTGGAGATAAGTGATATCTCATTGTGGTTTTGATTTGTATTTCCCTGATGATTAGAGATGTTGAGCATTTTTACATATGTTTGTTGGCCATTATTCTGTCTTCTTTTGGAAAGTTTCTGTTCACGTCCTTTGCCAACTTTTTGATAGGGTTGTTTGATTTTTTTCTTGCTGATTTTCCTGAGTTCTAAATAGATTCTAGTTATCAGCCCTTTATCAGATATGTAGATTGTGAAAATTTTCTCCCATTCTTTGGGTTGTCTGTTTGCTCTCTTGACAGTTTCTCTGGCTGTGCAAAAGCTTTTTAATCTGATCAGGTCCCATTTATTTATTTTTGTTGATGCTGTGATTGCCTTTGGGGTCTTCTTCATAAATTCTTTGCCTAGGCTAATGTCTAGAAGAGTATTTCCAATGTTTTCCTCTAGAATTATAATAGTTTCACACCTAATGTTCAAGCCTGTTACCCAGCGTGAGTTGATTTTTGTGAGAGGTGAAAGGTGTGGGTCTTGTTTCAGTCTTCTATATGTGGCTATCCAGTTTTCCCAGCACTATTTATTGAATAAGGATTCTTTTCCCCCATGCATGTTTTTGTCTTCTTTGTCAAAGATTCGATGGCTATATGAGGATGGTTTTATATCTGGATTCTCTGTTCTGTTCCACTGGTTTAATTCCCTGTTCTTCTGCCAGTACTAAGCTGTTTTAATTCCTACAGCCTTTATTTTTGAGACAAAGTCTTGCTCTGTCACCCAGGCTAGAATGCAATGGCATCATCATAGCTTACTGCAACCTCAAACTACTGGGCTCAAGCAATCCTCCTGCCTCAGCCTCCCAAGTACTACAGGCATGCACCACCACTATTTTTTGTACTGATGAGGTCTTGCTCTTGCTCAGGCTGGTCTTGAACTCCTGTATTTCCTTACAAAAAAATAAATGAAGCAAAGAACCATAGGTATACACACAAGAAAAATGAACATAAGTAGCTTATTCTATTAAGTAGTCATCCATATCATTCTTTAAATCATTACTGAAAATGTTATGTCTTTATTTTTTTAATTTAATTTTAATAAAATTTAATTTTAATAAAATTTAATTTTAATTTTATTTTTTAAATTTTTTTAAAGTAGTTGGACATTTATCAATCATTTAATGTTTTAGAAATGGTAACTATATTGAGTTTATGTTTGACTTTAAAAAAATTTTTTTATTATCTCAAATTCTGTTGGTACAAATATTGTTAGGGTTATATATCTTGCCCCTGCCCCCCCCTCCCCACCTTGTTATGCCAGAGCTTCAAGCATGTCCAGTCTCCAAGTGGTGTGTACTGCACCCACCATGTAAGTGCATACCCTTCCCCTTCTCCCCCCTTCCACCTTTTCACCTCCCAATAACAGATTTTTTTTAGACATTTGGTTACAGTGTGTATCTTTGCCTCTCCCTAAAAAGGTATAGAGGTAATCCATTCCCCCCTACAATGCTCATCACATCCTTAATATGTGGGTCTCCCCCCCAATCCCTGTTGAACACTACAATTTTTTGAGCACCATAGTTTTAAAAAATATGGAATGCTTCATGAATTTGCGTGTCATCCTTGTGCAGGGGCCATGCTAACCTTCTCTGTATCATTCCAATTTTAGTATCTATGCTGCTGAAGCAAGCACAAAATGTTATGTCTTTAAAATCCTGTACACTAATCAGTCAAATCACATTTTCAGTAAACTTTGTGCTTCACATATTATATTTTATGGCTATTAAATAAATGAAAGGAAGCAATTTTCCCCATCACAATCATTACCAAATATATCATTAAGGGCCATATGATTTTCTTATGTACTTACTACTTCCAAAATACCTGAGTTTCTGGATTTCATTTGGAATAAACCTAATTTCATTGTAGGAAATATCAAGCTCTTCAAGATAATACAAGCGAAATAACCTTAATTGAAAAGAGAGAATTAATTGTAAAAATGATTATGTATTTGTCATTACTGGGAATAAATAATTAAATACTTGATTAAGGATGGAGGAGTATAGAAAAACAATGGTTTTCTATGATCTTGACATTTATGTAGACTTCTTTTCATTATACATAGTGTAATTAACATAGAAGTTCCTAAAAATTATTCATCTTTCTATTAAGACTGGCTTTGGATGCTTGGAATGAACAAAGGCCCAATTTAGGAAAAGTCACCTGAGAAATTTTTAACATCATTTAGATATTTTTTTTTCATGGTTGTTGTATTAGTTTCCAAGAGCTGACATGACATATTACCCCAATCTGGGTGGCTTAAGTAACAGAAATTTATTCTTTCATAGTTAAGGAGACCAGAATTCTGAAATCAAGCTATCAGCAGGATTGGTTCCTTCTAGATGCTCTGAGGGAGAAATCATCCCTTGCTTCTCTCCTGGCTTCTTGTGGGTGCTCATAATCCTCGGCATTCCTTGGCTCGTGGCAGCACAACTGCAACCTCTGCCTTTGTCTTCATATGAACTTCTTATAAGGACACCAGTCATTGGATGTAGGGCCCACCCTAATTCAGTATGACCTTTTATTAATCAATTACATCTGCAAAGACCCTATTTCCAAATAAGGTCACATTCTGAGGTTCTGTATGGACATGGATTTTTGAGGGGCACTGTTCAACCCAGTACAGTTGTATTAAGACTTTCCTAGTGAAGTACCTTTGAACTTTCTTTCCATCAAGGTAAGTTCTTAAAAGTAAGAACCAAAGAATACAAAGACTCTATAACACAGATGTTATGCTGCCACAAACCCTGACTCCTGGGGGATGGAAGTAGAAATTGCTTTGCGAAGACTGGACTTGAAGGACTAAGTGCAATAGTCATCACAATGCCTAGTAAACATCCCCTTCCCTGTGTGTGCTGTTCTCAAATACCTTCCTGTTTTCCAGGAGAAAGATGAAAATTTATTTACATGATTATTAGCTAAGGCATCATGAGCACAGTATTTCACTAATTTCTTACTATCTTAGCGTGGTGCATGAGGGTTCTTATGATCTGGCCCCAGACCACTTGTCCAACTCACTTCCCATGCTCCTCCATATTCTTCTATGGTCCAGTGTTTATTTGCTAAAATTCCCTGAATTAACCAGTTCTCATATATCTCCAGATACCATGTGCAATTTCTGCAAACTTGACTCTTTGATCATTGTCTTTTCATTTTTTTTTTTTTTTGAGACAGAGTCTCGCTTTCTTGCCTAGGCTAGAGTGAGTGCCGTGGCGTCAGCCTAGCTCACAGCAACCTCAAACTCCTGGGCTCAAGCGATCCTCCTGCCTCAGCCTCCCGAGTAGCTGGGACTACAGGCATGCGCCACCATGCCCGGCTGATTTTTATATTATATATATTAGTTGGCCAATTAATTTCTATTTTTATGGTAGAGACGGGGTCTCGCTCAGGCTGGTTTTGAACTCCTGACCTTGAGCAATCCGCCCGCCTCGGCCTCCCAGAGTGCTGGGATTACAGGCGTGAGCCACCGCGCCCGGCCTGTCTTTTCATTTTATAAGTCTTGGCTTAGCTATCACCTCTTCCAACAAACTCTTCCCAAATCCATCAGACTGGGTGAGATACCTCTTCTGTACTTCTCTGCTTACCCCATCATAGCACCTATCACACTGTGTAATACATGTCTGCCTCCTAAAACTGATGAGGTTCTGGAGGCCAGGGATTCAGTTTATATTTCTATACAACTAATGCCTTACATAGTGTCTATATACGGTATAGAATCATAATCACAATTGAATGAAAGGAATGGTGATGCCAGTTAATTTGAAATCATTTGCTCTGAGAAATTAATGAGATTGAATAGGAAAACAAAAGAAATGCCTTTTCAATATAGTGTTCATCTCTTATCTCTGTAAAGAAAATGTTAGTACCATTTGCTGTTATCTTTCAATTCAAAATCATGCTATTGTCTTGCCTCAGGTAGTTTCTAGAATTATTTCATCCATCTTCCCTTATCACTTCAGTACTGGCAACCTAGTCTAGTTCCAGGCTTTCACCATGGATGATATATTCCTGCTGATTGTGAGGTTTAATTGGGCTAGTAGACAGCAGTGAGGAAGCTAATTAAGGAGGTTGCATAGGTTCTAGAGTTGAAATTTGCTTCATCTATATATGATTTTAGAGAGCAAATCTCTTCAGACAGCCTCAGTTTGGTCTGATCCTCTATTCCCCCACCAGCATCAAATCTATTATATACTTTTTAGGATGTGTAGAAGTTTTTACATTTATTTCATTGCTTTGTTTATTAACACATTGTTAGGCAATGAGATGCTTAAACTAGAGCCCTGCTATTAGCTTGCAAGATTAGATTAGCATTAATAATTGCAAGTGTTATCTGTGACAACCACCACAGCAATATAAATATTATTTATTAATATCCTTGTATATGTCCATGATAATTTAGAACGATCTTTTACCATACTATTGCAAGATTGTTACATTTTACATATTTAAAAAAGTGGGTGCTGCAAGAGGCTAAGTAACTTATCCAAATTAGTATGAATTAAAATATAGTATCTGTTTTCTTCAGATGTGTACAAAGTAATTTAATTCCCTTCTTTAATAAAAAAAAATATGGGAACATAAATGTGTGCAATTTCAGAATCAGTTCTTTATACAAGGCTTTCAAGTAGGTTGTTACGCTCTTTGCTCTAAATAGCTTCTGCTTCCAAAAGAACCTGCCTGCCAATTAAAGCAAACTGAATCAAGAAAGTAAGGCACAAATTTGATTCTGTTAGTTAAAAGTAGCAATTTTCTATGTCATCTTTTTCTCCGCTATCCACTAAAAAATTTAAGGACTTTTTCTTTGCCTTTGTGATAGTTATTTTCACATAACCTCATGGTTTGAGTCTAAAAAATGTTTTTATAGCAAACAGTATTTGTTCATGAATTATGTAGTTTCCTTTGTTCACTTAAAGGGTAATAACATCACAAAAACATGTCTCTTTCCTCCCCCAACTCTGCTTTTCCTTTTCTTATCTTTTCTATCTAAAAGCCCTGAGAAAAGAAAAAAAAAATTTGGATTTTTGAAATGATTTATTATCTTCATTTTGTAAGAGAATTAAAAGACAAATCAAAGAGCTTTTTGTGGTTACAAAACTCTAAACATATGAGTCCCTATCCCTTTTCCCTTAACCTACATTCAATTTGTTAAACTCTAATTGGAAGAAGTATCTTGTTTTGACATTTGGTCAAGGTTTTGGTTTAGAAGTTAGGAGTTAAATAATTACCAGTCCATATATGGACTTTTATGCCCAAATATCAGCATTCCTATTGAATTGAAAGGATCTTAAATATCATATAAACCAGTCTTCTTAGTTTACAGATGAGGAAATTGAGGCTGAGAATAGTTAAGTTACTTTCTCCAGATCAAATAGGTAATTATCATCAACTTTAAAGTCAAAGGTCTAGATTTCCTAGTTACAAGTTCAGTGCTCTTTCCATATCCAAAAATGCTATAAAGATATAGGTGCAAGATTCTCACCTGAACTGGTTTAAATGATTTCTGTTAATTTAATTCATATTCAGATAATGGATATCTAGATGTATATTCATTAGACCCATATTAATTGCCACCTATATAGCTGTTAGGATTGTTTTTAACATCATAATAAGAAGCAAATCAGCTACTTAGAACAGAATAAGAATTACTAAATATCCGAAAAACTGCTAGCTGCTTTCAAAAGGGAAATTGTTTGTTCCTTTTCTAAATTGTAAACTCTTTATATTATGTGTTTATAGACTCAAACTAACAACCTTACCCAGGTGGAAGGACAGTAATCCAATTAAAAGCTATGCTAAAAATTCTAAGGTACTTCAGTTTTTGAATTTCAGAAGGAATTTCTTTGATAGGATTATTTCTCAGTTTCAGTACTTGTAAATTTTTAAGACAAAATACCTGGGGAACATAAAAGAGAAACAAACATGTCAAGAGAACCTTGGAGGTGAAAAAATTAAAATATAAAATTAAAAAAAAAAGAAACAAACATGAATGGAATAATAAAGTATGCAAATCCCTACTTGTTACCTTTTCTAAGCACTTTGAGCTAATGTGATAGAATCACTATAGCAATGTTAATTGGCTCTGTCAATAAACACCTTTGGTCAACCTTCAAAATAAGTGGCTAGCATTAATATGAACGATTTGGTGAAACAGTGCAACTACTGCACTTGTAAACCGTGCAGTCACCCCTCCTCCCATAGATATGGAAGGGAAATATTGAGAGTGGGGAATATGTAACAGAGGGAATGGCCTGAAAAAATGGCAAAAATATTTTTTGTCTCTTTAAAGCATCCTCCACTCCTTTTTGAGAACTAAAGCCTGCATCACTGCCTCAGGCCAGTGGTTGGGAGGGGCAGGGTAAGTCTTTTTTTGTGTGTGCAGCAGGAGATGGCCCAGCTGGGACCTGGTAAAGGGAGGTCCTGGGTGGAGGTCACCAGATTGTCTTCAGTGGAGATAGGGTGATCAGAATAATCAACTGTAGTTAACAGTAATTGCCTGAAGCTGAGAACCCATCCTTTAAGAGCTCTGTATTTCTGCTAATGTTCAGGAAATTTGGATTTTGAGTTGAGAAGGTCTATCATTTTTCCTCCTTTGCCGACAAGGTAATAAAACTTCTCTTTCCTTCCCCTCAAACCACTTGTTCTTGTTCTTCTGATATAGCCTCGAGGACAAGTGGTTGAGCTTTTGGTAACATATTTATATACCCTTAACTCAAGAATGGACTTTTTCTAAGTCAGAAGGGATCCTTTTTCATGGTTTCATATGATGCAATCATGGAAAGATGAGGGCATAAGGAGGTATCTGCAGAACCAGGGAGATAAGTGGAATTAACCTTAATGATCAGTGAAGTGTCAGATATTATAGCCAGATTATTGCAGATATAATAGTAATTTCATGTATATTAATTTTACATATGAAATTTGAAAATAGAATATACCATATAAATCTATGATCTTTGCTTGATTAATATATTTCTTGCTCTCTGATAAATCTTTATAAGGTCTTATATTAGCTCTCTTTAACATTAAATTAAACCTTTTTATCATCATAAAGATCCAAATTTCGTGGAGTAGAGCATGCTTATTCTTATAACCAGGAAGTGTGAATCCTCTAGTTTATTTTTCTTTTCAAAATTGGTTTGGCTTTTTGGAATTTTTTGTATTTCTATATGAATTTTATGCTCAGCTTGTCAAATTTTGCACAAAAAAGGCAGTATAATAATTTTCATAGAGATTGAATAAATTTGTAGATTAATTTGGGAGTATTACCATCTTAACAATATTAAGTATTCAGATTCATGAACATGGGATGTCTTTCCACCCATGTATGTCTCCTTTAATTTCTTTCAACAATATTCTGTAGTTTTCACAGTGCAAGTTTTGCACTTTTGCTAAAATTACTCCTATATATTTGATTTTTTTATGCTATTATAAATTGCTTTCCTAATTTTATTATCAGTATTGTTCATTGCTAGTATATAGAAATACAACTGATGTTTGTATATTGAGCTTGAACACTGCAATCTTGCAGAACTCAATCATCAGCTCTAATAGTTTTTTAGGGAATTCCCTCATATTTCAATATGCAAGACCATGTCATCTGCAGCTAAAGATAGTTTTACTTCTTCCTTTTAAACCTAGATGCCTTTTTCTTGACTAATTGCTTTGGTTAGAAACTCCAGTGCAACGCTGAACAGAAGTGGCAAGAGTAGACATCCTTGTCTTGCTTCTGATCTTAAGAGGAAAAGTTTCAGTCTTTTACCATTAACTATGATATAAGCTGTAGGATTTTTGTAGATGCCTTTTATGAGGTTGAGGAAGTCCCCTTCTATTCTTAGATGTTGAGTTGTTTTTTTTTTTTTTGTCTAGGAAAGGGTGTTGGATTCCCCCAACTGTGTTTTTCTGTGTCTATGGAGATAATGGTGTAGTTTTTTTTCCCCTTTGCTATATCAATATGGTATATGACATTGATTGCTTTTTGTATGTTGAAACAACCTTGCATTACTTGGATAAATATAATTTAGTCATAGTGTAAAAGCTTTTTTATATGTTGCTGAATTTGGTTTAATAGCATTTTGTTGAAGATCCTAGCATCTATGTTCATAAGAAAGAACGTTCTGTAGTTATTGTTCTTATCATATTCTTGGCTTAATGGTTTAAACTGGGGAGTGTTCCTTCTTCTATTTTTTTTTTTTTTGAAGAGTTTGTGAAGGATTGGTTTAATTCTTCTTTAGATGTTTGATACAATTTACCCATGAAGCCATCTTGTCCTAGACTTTTCTTTGTGGGAAAATTTTTAATTATTTTTGAATCTGTTTACTTGTTATAATAAATACAGTATAATTCCTATTTTTTCTTGAGTTCATTTTTGTGTCTTTATAGGAATATGTTCATTCATTTAAGTTATTTAATTGGTCGGTATACAGTTACTTATAGTATTCTCTTAAAATCTTTTTTATGTCTGTAAGGTCAGAAGTGATGTTCCCTCTTTCATTCTTGATTTTAGCACCTTGAGTCTTTTGTCTTTTTTCTTGGTCATTCTAGGTAAGGTTTGTCAATTTTGTTGATCTTTTCAATGTAATAATGTTTGGTTTTGTTGAACATCTATATTGTTTTTCTATTCCCTATTTCCCTAATTTCTGTACTAATTTTTATTATCTCCATCCTTATTCTTTCTTTAGGTTTAGTTTGCTCTTTTTTTCCTAGTGTCTTAAGATGGAAGATTAGCTTATTAATTGAGACTTTAAAAAAAATAATAGGCAATTACAGCTATAAATTTCCCTCCAAGCACTGCTGTAAATGCATCTAACAAATTTTGGTATGTTGTATTTTTATTCATCTCAAATAAATTTTCTAATTTCCCTTTTGATTTCTTCTTGGACTCACCAGTTATTTACAGTGAATTGTATAATTTTCACATATTTGTCACTTTCCAAATTTTTTTCCATTTTTGATTTTCAATTTAATTCTGTTGTAGCCAAAAATAGACTTCCATGATTTTCAATCCTTTAAAATTTATTGAGACTTTTTTTGTGGCCTAACATGTTATCTATCTTGGAAAATGTACTATGTAAATTTGAGAATTGTATATTCTGCTGTCATTAGCTTGAATATTTCATAGATGTCTATTAGGTCTAATTGGTTTATAGTGTTGTTCAGGTCTTCTATTTCCCTATGTCTCTTCTGCCTGTTTGTTCTGTGCATTATTGAAAGTGGGATATCAAAGTGTACAACTATTATTGTTGAATTTTCTATTTCTTTCTTCAATTCTTTCAGATTTTGCTTCATATACTTTGGGGCTCTGTTGTTAAATACACATATATTTTTAATGTTATTTTATCCTGATGGATTAAAAAATGTCCCTCTTTATGTCTAGTAACATTTTTTGTTTTAAAATCTATTTTTTCTTATATTAGTGTAGTCACTCCAGCTTTCTCATGGTTGCGATTTGCATGATATATATTTTCTCATGCTTTTACTTTCAATAGTTTTGTATCTTTCAATCTTAAGTGTGTTTCCTATGGACAGTATATCATTTGATTTTGTTTTTTTAATCTAGTCTGATAATCTGTATCTTTTTATTGGATTCCTTGATGTATTTACATTTAATGTTATTAGTGGCATGATTGAATTTACATCTGCCATTTTACTCTTAGTTTTCTATATGTCTTTTTTTTTTTTTTTTTGAGACAGAGTCTCACTTTGTTGCCCAGGCTAGAGTGAGTGCCGTGGCGTCAGCCTAGCTCACAGCAACCTCAAACTCCTGGGCTCAAGCGATCCTGCTGCCTCAGCCTCCCTAGTAGCTGGGACTGCAGGCATGTGCCACCATGCCCGGCTAATTTTTTCTCTCTATATATATTAGTTGTCCAATTAATTTCTTTCTATTTATAGTAGAGATGGGGTCTCGCTCTTGCTCAGGCTGGTTTCGAACTCCTGACTTTGAGCAATCTGCCTGCCTCAGCCTCCCAGACTGCTAGGATTACAGGCGTGAGCCACTGCGCCTGGCCTCTATATGTCTTATGTTCTTCCTTTACTGCTTTCTTTTGTATCAAGTGAATATTTTTCTTGTATAACGTTTTAATTACTTTAATAATTTTTTCAGTATATTCTCTTGAGTTATTTTCTTAGTCATTGCTTTAGGGGTTAGATATACACCTTAACTTATCAGAATCTACTTCAGATTTATACTAACTTAATTCCAATGAGATATGAAAATGTTCCTCCTAAATACTCTATTCCCAATTCTCTTTTGTGCTATAATTTTATACATATTACATCCATATATGTTACAGATCTAACAATTCATTACTATAATTTTATTGTATATGATTTTATGTCTTTTAAAGAACCTAAAAGAAGAAAGGAGACCAAGTATATGTTTATAGGGTTTGTTATATTAACCTTCTTACTTAACATTTTTGTTTCTACATTTACCTATCTTAAACTATTTTGTGAACTTTGCATTCTGCCTGATTCCCCCATATTGAATTTCCCTGAAGCCTGTAATAATTCCAATCACTCAACTTACCCCAGCCCCCAGTTTTCTACTCATTACCTTTACACTATGCTAATAATCAGGCATCATTAGCCTAGCCCCAGTGTATACCTTCAAAGTCTTGATATTATTATTGTCATTGGAATATTTTATCTATAGCTATATAACACAGATCTGCATTTTATTGACAAGTTCTACTGATTTCTGTCACTTTAAAAATGAGCACTTTATATCTTATATCTGAAGAGCTGCTTTGTATTTATACATTATTTTTTAGTGAGTGAAGTATTCTTCAGCAAATATACAAGCTTTATCTGTATCTACTTAAAAGAAGATTAAATTGATGTGAGGAAATAAGATCCCTATATTCCTTGGGAATTTGTGTCAATTTGTCCTCATCAAAGTAATAAGACCGGTGTTATATACTAGAAAAGAAAAAGTAACTTTTCCTAGTGAAAATAAAAACATGATATTACAGATAAACATATGTTTTCAATACTATATGTTTGAAATAGGAAGAAAGTAAATTTGCCAAAATCAATTCACTAACAGGCAATACTCTGGAAATCAATTCACAAAACAACCAATCACTCAGTGACCAATGAAGCAATGACTAAAGACACCGAAAACACAATTTTCCCTAATTAATCATAATGACTCATTCATTAAACATGACATTAAATTAGGTCATCTCATATCTGATTATCTTTGATAACTTAATAAACATTTTGTTATATAGAATATCATATATTAGCTTATGATAATTAAAACTTGTTACAACATTGCCTGGTCACTAACTTGTTTTGAAAGCTTCTAATTAACACATGGATATGTGTTTATTTTAGGTTTTATTCAGAGTTAGAAGAATAAATAAATTATTTAATATTTCAGAGCCTGACTATAACATAGGCCTTGAGGATTATATCATGGACCTTCCTAAGAAAGGTGTACTGTACTTTTTAGACTTATGAAAATAAGTATTTTTCTTAGATAGAACCCCAAATTTATTTATAGTACTTTATAGTGACTTCAGAGTATCATAAGATGTCTACTTTTTATCATAATTAATATTTATAATAATAAATCATATCAATATATAATTATAAAAAGGAACTTACTTCTGTGGGAAAGTAACAAAGATCATTAAATGATAAATTAAGATATACCAATTGGAAAGCCAAACATGTTAAGTCTGGACAATTCAGGAGAAAATAGCCCTAAAACAAAGGACAGGATATAACATGTTAATTAACAATGCACAAAATATTTTACATAAGAGTAAAACAAGATGAGCACATAATCTGAGTGACAGTGTTTGATACCATACACTAACAAGCCTATACTCAGCTTCTATTCATTTTTTTAGTTGGTCATAGTAATAATTTCTTAAGTATGCACAAGATAGAAACACAAAATAAAAACACTACTTAGTATTTATATATGTGGTAAGTATGGTGCTATATGTATGACAACATTATTCCAATCAGTAACAAGCAAATATTTATGGATTGCCTGCTACATGCTGAAATATAAGTAATGGAGTCATTTTATACTTAATTAACTCCTTTATTCCCTTTTTTAGTCCCTATTTTCTATTTCTCTGTTACCTATCTATTAATCTAACATGCACCTAAAACTTTTTGTTAGATATCCCAATTTTAGACTGAGGAAATACTTTGTCTTGCTGCTTGTTTTTGTCCCCTACCCCGAAATTTATATGTTGAAGCTCTGATCCCCAATATTATGGTATTTGAAAGTGGGACCTTTGGGAGGTAATTAGGTTTAGATGAGATCTTAAGGACCCCCATGATGGGATTTATGCCCTCATAAGAAGAGGAGGGGACCAGAGCTACTCTGTGTCTGCCACGTGCAGGTACAACAAGAAGGCAGCCATCTGTAAGAGAGCCTTCACCAGGAACCAAATCTACAAGCACCTTTATCTTGGACTTCTTAGCCTCCAGAACTGCAATAGATAACTTTTTGCTGTTTAAGGCACTGATCCATGGCATTTTGTTATAGCAACTGACTGTGATATGTCTAGTGTCCTCCCCTGCCCCACCACAAGTATCTTTAATGCTCCAGGACGGCTGAAATATTTGTTTCTCAGAGGGTGTAAAATTGGTAGTGATCAACTGAATGAACCAAGGAACTCTGACGCTGAGGATCAGACCTTGGCTTGTAGGCAAAAGAGGCGTCGTTGCCAAGGCATTATGCTGTGGCATGTGCTATATAAAAATAAAAAAGTTCATGGCTAAAGAACCTCAGAATTGATGGCACTGGGTTCAAGACTAACTTATTATTAAAAGTATTAATATATATCACAGTAGTAGTAGTGTCTACTACTACTACGTTGGTAGTAGACAAAAGCAAGTGCCTCTTGTTCCTGTCATTAAACATTTTTCTCTTCTCTACAGAACTAGTGGTACAAGTTAGGTGGCAGAAATGTGTCTGTCACAGGCTCTAATTATCCTACTTAGTGTGCTCAGATGACCTCCCTTGGGAAAAGGTAAACCTACTGGCTTTACATTTCCTCCTGCCTGGAAAGCTCTGGCCCTATCCATTTCATGAATTATTGTCTCCCTTTACTCAGCTGCCTGCTTCTTGTCAGCCATTTGCCTATAAATCATCCAAACAAAAGGCTTTCTCTGACCAATCTATCATAAATGGCCACCTCTCAGATCAGTGCCTGGTCTTTGGCTCCCTATCCCCTCCACTTGCTTTACTTTGCTTCATAGCTCTTATCACCACAGAACATATTACACATAAATGTATGTATGTATGCGTGTGTGTATGATCTCACTACACTAAAGTTTAAGCTCCATGAAATAGACATCTTGTCTCTTTTGATCAGTGACACACAGTGAGATAGTTTACCACTGGTACACAGAGGGTTTTTAATAAATATGGGCTGAATGTGTGGATATCAGTGATTTTCATGTTGCTTCATGGATTCCAGGGACCTTTACTGTGGATATAAACTGAGGTCTGCCAATCAGAGGTCCCCTGGATCATGCTTTTCTCATCTCATAATAAATTCTGTTTGCTGTAGTTATCATGGAAGGAATGTGAAGGACTAAATAGCACAAAGAATGTGGAGGCTTTCTCAGCCTCTTGAATTACACTAGCAACTGTTAAGCATTTATGCGTTGAGTCTGCAGTATATTAATCACTGCATTTGTTTTGTGTAAATTGTTATTCATATATTTGTCTCCCCCAAATCTCAGGTTGAAAGTTGATCTCCAATGTGGAAGGTGAGGCCTAGTGTTTGGGTCACGGGGTCAGATCCCTCATGAATGGCCTGGTGCCCGCCAGATGGAAATGAGTGAGTTCTTGCTCTATTAGTTGTGAGAACTGATTGTTCAAAAGAGCTTGGTACCTCCCCTCTCTCTCTCTTGATCTCTCTCACCATGTGACATGCCTGCTCTCCCTTCACTGTCCACCATGATTGGAAGCTCCCTGAAGCCCTCACCAGAAGATGATGCTGGTGACATGCAAGATTCTTGTGCAACCTTCAGAACCATGAGTGAAATAAACCTCTTTTCCTTATAAATGACCCAGCCCCAAGTATTTCCTTTATAGAAATGCAAATGGACTAACACAATGTGGTTATTTCTCTACCTTTAAATAAAGTAGGTTTATTCGTTTCATTTAACACACACACACACACACACACACACACACACACACACTCATTTAATTTTTAGGGGATGATTAGCTAGGCCATTTACAACTCTGCCTTAGCCTTCACTTCCTGCCTGTATTGCACCAGGAAGTCAGCCAGATGTGAAAGCTCAGGCCTTCTCAGGTCTTTTCTTAGAATGCGTATAACACTGGGCAGGCATGTGGCTTTCCAAATTTTTCAATATATGTAAACATTTTTGAATACCCTGATTTTTCAAAGAAATGCACTCTGCAGCTTTTCCTGATTTTGAAACTTTCTATGGGTTTGAGCCTATATCAAAATAAAATTTAACATAAAAGAGCATCGATTTTGAGGCCAAAGAGTTCTAGGTTAAAACCCAAGCTCTCTGACTTGCTTACAGTGAGATGTTGTGCACGTTACTTTCATTGATCCTCAGTGCTTTTACCTCTAAGATGAATATTGTAATATCTACTTGGCAGGACTGTGAGTTTTAGAAGTAATGTGTAATTGGTACATAATAGGAGCTTAATAAATTGAAACTAGTATTATTGCTGTCCATCATATAGAGCTTATGTTTAGTGAAAAGCCAGCATAGTACTAGATTTTTTATAAGACCAAAGATTGCTGATAACTTAAAAATATGACAAATCTGAATCCCATTTCTCTTATCATGATAACTAATGAAAAAAGCACTTTAATTATTTCAAATCTGAGCATCTTTTAATACTGAAGGCAGATAGGTTTAGAGATGCAATCAGAATGTGGTTCTGGGAAATCTCTATTGCAACCAGAAAAACTCTTCAATGACATACAAATTTACCTATGTGGGGAAACCTAAAACAAAAATAATTGATATCTCAGTTGCAGGTGACAAAGAAAAGAAAAAAAAATAATAATAATTGATAACACAACTGGACATTGTAAATAAAAAGATTTAGCATACCTTAAGATTAAGTGCATTTCTTCCATGTACGTGACAGTTTACTATAGCCAATTTGGTCATGGCTGTTATTGTTTCATATCGAGTTGCTGTAATAGTCTTGAAACCTTCACCACGTATAATATTTCTATCTGATTCTATTAGTCTAGTTTTGTCGTAAACTAAATAAATAAAACATGAAACTTCAATGTGTAATCACTTAGAGTTAAAGTTAAAAGGTATTTATGTTAGCACTGAGTTACTCTAAGGGGTTAGCTATACAAAAATCTCTGGAAGGGATCCCCCATAACCCTCATCTACCCAATCTCAGTTGTCTGTTTGACAAATCGAGTGTTGTTTTGTTTTGTTATTTAATATTAGATGGCATAACTGTCTTTCAAAAGGAAAACCATATGCTCATAGATTTATATCTGGATAATTTAGATGATTAATCTTTTTGTACTATATGTAATTAAAAAAATTTTTTTGGTCTCACTCTGTTGCCTGGGTTAGAGTGCAGTGGTATTATCATGCTCACTGCAACCTCAAACTCCTGGGCTAAAGCAATCATTCTGCCTCAGCCTCCAAGTAGCTGGGACTATAGGCATATGCCACCACACCTGGCTAATTAAAAAAAAATTATTTTTTGTAGAGACAGGGTAACACTATGTTGCCCAAGCTAGTCTCAAACTCCTGGGCTCTAGCGACCCTTCTGCCTCAGCCTCACAAAGTGTTAGGATTACAGGGATGAGCCATTGCACCCCAGCATACATTTTAGAATTTTATTAGAATTACATAAAAAACTTCTTGAGACAAAACATTAATAAATGGCATCATATAAGCATAACTCAGCTAGACATCAACCTCACTTTTTCCTAACATCACCTTGATGCATGATTCAAATGCCCTATGTGATTTAACTCTTAACCAAAGTTTGTAGATTCCCCCACACGAAAAATAAATACTACTGATTTGCCAATGTCTATGTTGACTTTATAACCTTCAACTTTCTGAATTGATTTATCAATTCTAGGAGTCTTTTGGAGGAGTCTTCAGGGTATTCTAGGTATAAGACCATATTGATGGCAAATAGAGGTAGTTGGACTCCTCTTTTCCAATTTTGATACCTGTTATTTCTTTCTTTTCCATCCTTGCCTTGTTCCAGTTTTTAGGGGGAATGCTTTAAAGTTTTCTGCAGTCAGTATGATGCTGGCTGTGGGTTTGCTATATATGGCTTCTATTATTTTGAGGTGTGTTCCTTTTACACCTAGCTTTTGTAGGTTTTTATTATGAAGGAATGTTGGATTTTATCAAGTGCTTTTTCTGCATCTATTGAGATAATCATATGGTTTATATTTTTACTTATCTTTATGTGGTAAGTCATAGTTATTGATTTGTGAATATTGAACAATCCTTGAGTCCCTGGGAAAAAAACCCACATGATTGTGGTGAATTATATTTTTGATGTGCTTTGGATTTCGTTTGCTAGTATTTTGTTGAAGATTTTTACAGTTATATTCATCAATGATATCAGTCTGTAGCTCTCTTTTTTGTTGTGTTTTTTCCTGGCTTTGGTATCAGGGTGATACTGGATTTGTAGAATGAATTAAGGAGGATTCCCTCCTTCTTAATCTTTTGGAATAGTTTCCATAGAATTGGTACCAGTTCTTCTTTGTAGTTCTGGTAGACTTCAGCTGTGAATCCCTCTGGTCCTGAGTTGTTATTAGTTGGGAAATTTTTTATTACTAATTAAATCTCACTGCTCATTATTGCTCTGTTCAGAATTTCTATTTCTTCCTGATTCAAGCTTGAGAATTTGTGCATTTCCTGGAATTTACTCATTTTCTCTAGGTATTTTAGTTTGTGTGCAAAGAAGCGTTATAGTAGTCTCAGATGATCTTCTGTTGTATCAGTTGTATTGTCTCCTTTTTCATTTCTGATTGAGCTTATTTGAAACAAAAAAAATCAATACATGAATGAAAAATTTACTAAACAAATAGATTTATTTATTTTTTTAGAAAACATAACAGAACTTCTGGAAATAAAAGAGTCATTTAGGGAATCTCAAAATATAGTGGAAAGTTTTAACAGCCTAGACTAAGTAGAAGAAAGAATTTCAGAGCTTGAAGAGAAGGCTTTTTAATTAACCCAGCCAATTAAAAATAAAGAAAAAAGAACCAAAATAAATGAACAAAGTCTTAAAGAAATTGGAATTATGTAAAATGCCCGAATATACGAATCATAGGTATCTCTGACGGAAAAGAAGAAAAAGTACATAGCTCATAAAACCTATCTGAGGGAATAATGGAGGAAAACTTCCCTGGTCTTGCTAGAGATTTAGACATTCAGATATAAGAAGCTGGTCAATGAACTCCTGAAAGATTCTTTGCAAAAAGGATATCACCCAGGCTCATAATCATCACACTGGCTGAAGTCAACATGAAGGAGAAAATTCTATGAGCTGTGAGATGAAAACATCAAGTAATTTATAAAGGAAAACCCATCAGACTAACAGCAGACTTCTGAGAAGAAACTTTATAAATCAGAAGAGATTGGGGTCCTTTAATCTTCTTAATCAGAATAATTGTCAGCTAATAATTTTGTATCCTGCAAAACTAAGATTAATGAATGAAGGAGAAATAAATTCCCCAGACAAGCAATTGCTAAGGGAATTTGTCACCACCAGGCCATCCACACAAATAAATGCTCAAGGAAGTTTTAAACATTGAAGTAAATGGTCAATACTCACTAGTATAAAAATTCACAAGAGTAAGAAAAAACTCACAGTTTTTATAAAACAGTAACACAAGGAAGAACACAAAGCAACTAAATAACAATTGACATAAGGTCTGGGACATTATCTCATATTATTAACATTGAATGTATTAATAAATGGTCCTAATGCTCCACTTAAGAGATATAGATTGGTGGAATGGAATAAAAAAAACAGCCCAAACATCTGTGGTCTTCAAGAGAGCCACGTAACTCATAAAGAGTCTCATCAACTCAAAGTAAAGAAATGGAATAAAATATTCCATACAAATAGAACCCAAAAGTGATCAGGAGTAGCTATTCTTGTATCAGATAAGACAGAATTTACATCAATAGCAGCAAAAAAAAAAAAAAAAAAAGATGAAGAAGGTCATTATATAGGGTTTCCCAAAAGTCTCCATACAAAGAAAAAGTTATGTAAAATTTTGTAATGAATATTTTGCAAGTAAAGGTACATTTAGCTACAATTTCCCATTTTCCCTATGCATGGTGATTTTTGGGACACCTGTATAATAATAAAGGGATTGATTCAAAAACAAGATATAACAATCTTACATATATATGCATCTAACATTGGAGCTCCAAGATTCATAAAACAAATACTACTACACCTAACAAAAAAAATAAACAGCAATATATTAATTGTGGGAGATTTTGACACTCCACTGATAGAACTATACATATTACTGAGGAAAAAAATCACTAAAGAAACACTAAACTCAAATGGGACTCTAGAACAAATGGACCTAACAGATATTCACAGAACATTCTACCCCAAAACTGCGTAATATACATTCTTCTTATCAGCACATGGAACATTTTCCAAGATAGACCATATATTAGGCCACAAAACAGTCTCAACAAATTTTGAAAAAACTGAAATCATATCAAGTTATTTTCTTAGACTCTAGTAGAAAAAATGAGAAATCATTTCCAAGAGGAACTCTCAAAACAATATAACTACATGGAAATTAAACAATCTACTGCTGAATGATCTTTGGGTAAATGATGAAATTAAGATGAAAATTTTAGTGCTAAGGGGAAAGTTTATAGCACTAAACACCTACATCAAAAGGACAGCAAGATCACAAATTAACAACCTAATATTATACCTTAAGAAACTAGAAAATAAGAACCAAACCCAAAGTTAGCAGAAGACAAGAAATAGCAAAGACAAAAGCATAACTAAATGAAATTGAAACAAATAAACAAACAAACAACAAAATACAAAGGATCAAAAAACCAAATAGTTTGTCCCTTGAGAAATAAGCAAAATTGATAGTGCACTAGCTAGATTAATCTAGAATTATTAATTTCTTATATATTTTGTGCTGTAAATTTTTATTTGCCTCTTATTTTTAAAACCCAAAATACCAGTTTTCTAGTGAAATTCTCCAATGTTCTCTTTATTTTCTTAAACATGGTAATCATAGTTATTTTTAAATCCCTGTTTGAAATGCTAATAACTGAATCAAATATGCAGCCGTCTCTACTGTCTCTTTCTTTCTACGAGTTTTCAGAGATTTTACCCTGTTGTTAGGGATGCTTTGTGACTTCTTAATTTAATGTTTGACTTTTTTATGTCAACATGTTATTTTTATTACTGTAATAGAAAAATTTTTAGTTATATGAATATAGGTAGGCAATATATGGTATACTTTATTTTATTTTTTATTATTTTAGCATCTTACAGGGGTACAAATATTTAGGTTACATATATTGCCTTTGCCCCACTCAAGTCAGAGCTTCAAGAATGTTCATCCCCCAGATGATGAGCACCGCACCCATTAGGTGTGAATATACCCATCCCCTCCTCCCCCCCACCTGCCCAATACCCGATGAATGTTACTACTATGTGTGCACATAAGTGTTGATCAGTTAATACCTTGATGGAGTGAAATTCTTAATAATTTATTAACTTAACTTAATAAGTTAACTTAATTAACTTAATAAGCTAAGTTAATGATGGTGAGTACATGTGGTGCTTGTTTTTCCATTCTTGGGATACTTCATTTAGTAGAATGGATCCCAGCTCTATCCAGGATAATACAAGAGGTGCTATATCAGCATTGTTTTTTGTGGTTGAGTAGAACTTCATGGTATACATATACCCTGTTTTATCAGTCCACTCATGTATTGATTGGCACTTGGGTTGTTTCCACATCTTTGTAATTGTGAACTGTGCTGCTGTAAACATTCTAGTGCAGATGTCTTTTTTATAGAATGTCTTTTTTTCCTTTGTGTAGATGCCCAGTAATTGGATTACTGGATCAAATGGCAGTTCTACTTGTATCTCTTTGAGTTATCTCCATATTACTTTCCACAGAGGTTGTACTAGTTTGTAGTCCCACCAGCAGTGTATGAGTATTCCTATCTCTCCTCATCCATGCCAACATTTATTGTTTGGGGACTTTTTGATAAAGGCTATTCTCACTGGAGATAAGTGATATCTCATTGTGGTTTTGATTTGCATTTCCCTGATGATTAGAGATGTTGAGCATTTTTTCATGTTTGTTGGCCATTACTCTGTCTTCTTTTGGAAAGTTTCTGTTCATGTCTTTTTCCCACTTTTTAATGGGGTTGTTTAATTTTTTTTTCTTGCTAATTTTCCTGAGTTCTATATAGATTCTAGTTATCAGCCCTTTGTTGAATGTGTAGCATGTGAATATTTTCTCCTATTCTGTAGGTTGTCTGTTTACTCTTATGACAGTTTCCTTGGCTGTGCAGAAGCTTTTTTATTTGATCAGGTCCCATTTATTTATTTTTGTTGTTGCCATGATTGTCTTTGGGTCTTCTTCATAAATTCTTTCCCTAGGCCAACATCTATAAGAGTTTTTCCAACTTTTTCTTCTAGAATTCTTATAGTTTCATGCCTTAGGTTTAATTCTATTATTAACCATGAGTTGATTTTTGTGAGAAGTGAGAGGTGAGGATCCTGTTTCAGTCTTCTACATGTGGCTATCCAATTTTCCCAGCACCATTTACTGAATAAGGATTCTTTTCCTTAGTGTAGGTTTTTGTCTGGTTTGTCAAAGATTAGATGTCTATATGAGGATGGTTTTATATTTGGGTTCTCAGTTCAGTTCCATTAGTCTATGTCTCTGTTCTTGTGTGAGTACCATGCTGTTTTAGTTACAATAGCCTTATAGTATAGCTTGAAGTCTGGTAAATTGATGCCTCTCAATTGGTTCCCAATATCCCTTATGAATATAGATGCAAAAATTCTCAAGAAAATCCTAGCAAACCGAATCCAGGTGCTTATCAAAAAAATAATCTATCAAGACCAAGTAGGCTTCATCCTAGAGTTGTAGGGATGGTTCAACATATACAACTCTATAAATGTAATTCAACACATAAATAGAAGTAAAAACGAAGACTGTATGATCCTCTCAATAAATGTAGAAAAAGCATTTGACAAAATTCAGCACTGTTTTATGATAAGAATGCTTAACAAAATGGACACAGACATGACTTACATCAAAATGATAAAAGCCACATATGACAAAGCCATAGCCAGCATCATACTGAATGGGGAAAACTAAAAGCATTCCTTCTTAGAACTGGAACCAGACAAGGTTGCCCTCTATTACCACTTCTATCCACGTAGTGCTGGAAGTCCTAGCCAGAGCAATCAGACAAGAGAAGGAAATCAAGGGCATCCAAGTGGGGGCAGAAGAGGTGAAACGATCGCTCTTTGCTGACAATATGATCTTTTATCTAGAAAACTACAGACATTCTGCTATGAGACTACTGGAATTGATAAACAAATTCATCAAAGTCTCAGGTTACAAAATCAATGTACAGAAATCAGTAGCATTCTTATACACCAACAACAGTCAAACTGAGAACCAAATCAAAGTCTCAATACCCTTCATAATAGCAGCAAAGAAAATAAAATACCTAGGAATATAATGCTTTTGAGCGAACAATTTTAATAGGTCTAGATCAGGGGTCCTCAAACTTTTTAAAGAGGGGGCCAGTTCACTGTCTCTCAGACCATTGGAGAGTGCTCACTGTGAGCCCGGGACAAGTTAGCTGCTAAGCAGGACAGGCAGCAGCGGCAAAAATACCCAGTGGGCCGGATAAATGTCTTCGGCAGGCAGCATGTGGCCCATGGCCATAGTTTGAGGATGTCTGGTCTAGATAATGCTCTCTCTGTCTCTCTAACAAGTGTTAGATTTTCTGCAGTTGGGCACAAAGCATCACTTTGACTTATCAAGGATTTGTTTTGAGGTTTGATAGTGCTAGTCTATTTAGATTTTGTCCTTTTTCCTAAAATATCATTTTTATTCCTAAGGTGTGGGTCCTCTGAGTCTTCAACTAAAAGTCCAGTGTGTTTATAAAGGCCCCCACACTTTGGCAGAGCTTGAACTCCGTCATTTGTTTCTTATACAACTGCAAAATCTATGCTCAAATCTTATCTTCTCAGCTGATGCTTTGTGCTATGTTTCTCAGAGTCTTATCCTGTACATGCACAGCTTAGAAATCTGCCAGCACTCTTACGGGAGTTCGTATGCAGATTTTTTTAGTTTTTAAAAGACAAATCTTGCTATGTTGCTCAGGCAAGTTTCAAACTCCTGGGCTCAAGTGATCCTCCAACTTTAGCCTCCCAAGTAGCTATAGGTGTGCACCATTTCACTCAGCTTGTATGCAGATTTTAAAATGTATTTCCATTCAATTCTCTTCTCTCCAAGATATTGCTCTACATGTCCCAATTATATTGGCAGATCTAAAGAATTACTGTTATCTTTTCAATGCACTAAAATTACGACTTTCTACTTGTGATCTATTCTCCCACACCTCAGACAAAAGCCAAGGTAAAGGTAGAGCTTCCCTTCTTTCAGGGATTATAGCCATTCAAGTCATGCCTATAATTGGCTACTCACCAATTCCTTCAATAGCTATTTTATCTATTTTTGGCAGCTTTAATAGTTGATTTTCATAAGAATGTTAGTCCAATACAAGTTACTCAATCATGGGCAGAACCAGAAATCATCAGGTCATTTTAAAATCTGTGTCTGATAATCCTAACAACTAGTACTCCCATATGTATGTTTGTACTTATTGTTTCTGCTAGTTTTCATTCATGTTTGTCTTTCTCTTTGTGTGCCTGGTAATTGCAAATTGTTTACTATATAATACTATATTAGAGGGATTGTTTGTAGAGATAATGTGAAGTCTAAGATGATGTAATCTTTCTTCAAAGATATTTTTCGCTTGTTTCTGCTAGGTAACTAAGGTGAAAGCCTTAAAACAGTGCCTGTCACATGGCAAATAGTTAACTTATGTTATTGCATGTCTGTTTGGCCCACACAGATTAAGAATATAACAGCTTTTATAATCTCAACATCACTAATGTCTGGTTCATGGTCAATACTTTAAAAATAGCTTCTGAGTAAATGGCTTAAAGGAAATGAAAATGAGGTGAGACATGTATAGTATGTATGTGTGAATCACATACACACATATAAATACACAAAATCAAAAATATTTTTATAGAGAGATAATCTTATATACAGTTTCTAAAAGAATTGTATAAATTTAGCATTTACCTTCAGTTGGTTTTCGAGAGACTTCCCTTGAGACAGTCTCTATATATTCATTGTCTGTTGCAAGAGTTTCTAGAAAAAAAGAAAAAAATGAGACAACTTTTGGATACTTGTAAAAATTCATTTGAGGGTCTTATGACTTCAGTATAATTGTTTATCATTTAATTAATTAGGATTATCCATGAAAATCCATCAGCATTGGTGTTCCACTTCTGGAGTTCATCTAGATCATTTTCTGAGTGAATGTTCATGCTCACTGCTTCTTTGTTTTAACTTTTCTGATCTGTTGAGTTCCCTTGTTGGTTCCCATCACCACAGTCTGTATAGAGTACCCAGTTTGGCCTTGGCAGATCTGCAACGTCAGACCTTCTGTTATGCCCTATGGCCCTAGAATTCAATGTGTAGACAAAAGATAATTCCCACCCTGCAAACCCAATAGGGGTTGGGGGACATCATTTGTTTGTATGCCTCCTCTCCCCTTTGCTCTACTTGACTCCATTATCATAGGCCACGTTCACATTGTATTTACCTATCATAGACTGTCTGTGAGGTCTTCTTGGTGAAGCTGGTGCTGGTAGGTAAATATCAACTGGATATTGAGTAACACTTAGTTTCACTGAAGAGCTTTGTGGTAAAACCTTGAGCCACTGTCTTTCTGGTTTACTAGTTGTAGTACTAGGTAGAGGGCTTGGCGCTGCCTCACTGACATCTGTCAAGATGTGCTGATAAGTAGAGCTTGGGCTCCTTGACAAAGGTTGATACCTGGGGTATGGTTTCTTGAGTTTGCCAGGGATGAGTTCGCAAGTAATTAGAGGCTTGGAGAACACTGAAGAAAGAATTAAAAGGCCTTCTAGTGCTTTGCTAGCATAAACATCTTTTAACATCCTTTTTGACTTCCTTGATTTTTTTATTTGGTCTGTTCCTTTCCCAAAAACTCGAGTGGAAGCTGAATAAGAGCTTGGGAAAAATATGGAACCAGTAGCAGTATCTGGAATGTGCCAGTGGACACTCTTAGTAGGTGCTGGGCGTGTTGAAATTGTAGCCACTTTCCTGGCTCTTTTTCGTACATGATAATCAAAACATAAATTTTGGATTTTGATGGGTATTGGTGATTTACTTCTTGAAACAACATCAGGAAAACTAGTTTCATCTCTTTTAATTGAAATGGTTTCATCTTGAATGAATACTACATGTGGTGACTTAGTTTCACCAGTTTTGGCTACATCAAAAAAGGAAAAAAAAAAGGAAAATTAGATTTTATTTATTAAGATGTCAGAGACAAAACTTTTAATGTCTTAGCATTCATAACTTTTCTTTACCCACTCACCCCTCTCTCACCTTCTAAAATTGTTTCTATTTGTGTTTGCTCAGCTACCAGCACTTCTGTTGAGCTGCCTAGGATAAAGTTTGAGTAAACAACTGGAGAAGTGAAAAGGCTAAATTGTATCAGATTTGGAAAGGGTAAGTAGCTACTCTTGGAAGAATAGAATTGTAGGAGAGAAGAGTGGGCTACAAGAAAATCTTTTTGAGTGATTTCCACTAAAATTCTGGTAACATGGATGGCTAAAATTAGTTTGATGAAGTTTTGCTATTTATCATATATCATTAGCACTCTCTTATTTGAAGTTTTTTTGAGTAAAGATTTACATTTCTTTTGAATGCTGGATGTCAGACCAATGTGTCTTTTGAACATGATAACATTCTGATAGTGCTATCAGGTTCCATAAGTTCATTTAGGTTACAACAATAAGTATTCTTTTCTCTCTTAGGTCCAGAAAATGCACTGAGTCTGAATTCTTAGGCACCTCACTACATTAAATATGTCCTTTCTTTCCTATGCAACAGAATGTTAAATGACATTTTTCTGTTGTTTCAGCTTTAGTGCAATAAATGGGAAGGACCTTTACATTCTAACATAGAGATAATAGATTCATTAAGGCAAAACTTGCAAGCAGATGGCCAAAACAACTCTTTCAACCCTTCACCCACCTGTTATTTATATATAAGAGAAGGCTAGAGATTGATCCGGGTTCAGAGAGGGGATTTCTTCTGAATAGAGCTTGGAAGACTATGCATTCTTCTGGTTTTCCCCTCCCCCTGGTGGGTAGAAGGGGGATGATGTCCCCCATCTCAAAGTAATTGAGAGGGACTCTTAGAGAACAATTTATAAAGAATAAGAGTGTATGCCACAAGGAGAAAATAATACCTCACTACTCCCCTATAACCTCCCCCACTGATACTTGCAAAGCAGCAAAACTTATTGGTTCACCCAGTGCAGTCTCCAAACCAGAGTAAGATAAGAGAATCCTTGAAACTACTTGACTTGTATTTCCTGGTATTTCAGGGGGTACAAAATTGATGCTGATTCTCACCTTAACTATTCCCCACTCCTAGCCCCACCTATGGAGGATACAGAAACTATAATGTAAGTTGAAAAAGGAAAGTAAAAGAACAGGGTGAAAGAACTGATCATGCCCCTCTTTCGGCTTATATAAAAATTAGCAGGCCTAGATTGAGCTGGGAGAAGGGACAAGGTTTGATTTTATGTTCGGTGGAAGTATTGACTTAGATTGAATTAACTCTTTAATATCTGAAAAGTGAGATGGAACTAATGTATAAAAGTGACTAGAAAAGCCCTGGGAGAGAGAGGTGTGACATAAGAGTTTGAAGGGCAGTGGTAGAAGAATGGAAGAATGTTTGCTGCCCACTTACATGGAACCAATCAAAGCTAGCTCATTTAATAAAAGTTACACCAAGATCTTCATTTTCTCATTCTTTCCTATTAAAATAAAACACATTAACACAGCAAGCACTTCAATAAACTCCAGAACAACTCCTTCCAACTACCACCATCTCACCATATTTATCCTCCCCTTAATGGCAAACTGAAATAATTTATACTCATTAGTTTGATTTCCTCTCCTCTCATTTTTGTTCTATTTGTTGTTTTACTTTATTTATTCTGCAACTTTTAATTAAGTTAATAGACTATTTTTAAAAATAGTTTTAGATATACAGAAAAATTAAGCATGATATATCTTATATCCCTTTTTTGCACCAGTCTCACCTCCCATTAGCATCTTATATTAGTGTGGTACATTTTTTACAATTAATGAACCAATGTTGACACATTCTTAATTTTTACAGTATAGTTAACTCTGTGTTGTACAGTTCTATGGATTTTGACAAATGCATAAAGGCATGTATCCACCATTATAGTATCACACAAAATAATTTCACCACCCTAGAAATCCCCTGTGCTTCACTTATTCACCCCTTCCCCTCTCCCTGAAATCCTGGCAACCACTGATCTTCTCAGTGTTTCTATAATTTGGCCTTTTCCAGAATTTTGTATGGTGGGAATCATAAAATATGTAGCCTTTTCAGACTGGCTTCTTTCAGTTAGCAATATGTAATTAAAGTTCTTACAGGCCTTTACATGATTTGATAGCTCATTTCTTTTTAATGCTGAATAATACTCTGTTGTCTGGATGTACTACGGTTAATTTAGTCATTCACCTATTGAATCGTTTCCAGTTTGGAGATATGAATGAAACTAGTATAAACGTGTATGTATAGGTTTTTGTATAGAAATTTTCATCTCAAATGGATAAATACCTGGGTGTACGATTGCTCCACAGCTGCATTGCATGGTAAAAGTATTTTTAGGTTTTTACAAAACTGCCAACCCATCTTCAAAGACAGCTTGTACCGTTTTGCATTCCCAACAAAGAATAAGGGTTCCTGATACTCCTCTCTAGCACTTGGTATTGTCATTGTTTTGAATTTTAGCAATTCTAATAGGTCTGCAGTGGTACCTCATTGTTTTAATTTGCAATTCTCTAATGTCATATGAATTTGAGCATCTTTTCATATGCTTATTTGCCATTGATATCTTCTTTGGTGAAGTGTCTATTCAGATCTTTCACACATTTTTTATTTGGGTTGTTTGTTTTCTTATTGTTGAGTTTAAGAGTTCTTTACTTTGAATTCAAGTCCTTCATCAGATATGGGTTTTGCAAATATTTTCTCCCAGTCTGTGACTTGTCTTCTCATTTTTTTTATATCATCATTTCACATAGCAGAAGTTTTTAATTTTAATGAAGTCCAACTTCTCAGTTTTTTCTTTCAACAATGTCTTAAAGTTAGGTAATACTCCTCCTTCCTTCTTATTTTTTAGTATTATGTTGGCTATTCTAGGTCTTAGCCTTTCCACATAAACTTTAGCATCATTTTGTAAATATACACAAAGTAAATTGCTTGGATTTTGACTGGTATTGCATTGAATCCATAGATAAAGTTGAGAAGAATGGAAATGTTAACAATATTGAATATTCCTATTCATGAACATGGAATATCTCTCCATTTACTTAGATCTTCTTTGATGTCTTTCTTCACAATTTTGTAGTTTTCCTCAAATAGATCCTGTACATATGTTGTTAGATATATGCCTAAGTGTTTCTTTTTTGGGGGAGGGGTACTAATATGAATTGTAGTGTTTTAATTTTAAATTCTGATTGTTCATTATTGGTATATAGGAGCGTGATTGACTTTTACATATTAATCTTGTATCCTGTAACCTTGTTATAATTGCTTATTACTTCCAAGAATTATTTTGTTAATTCTTTGGGATTTTCTTTTTCTTTTTTCCTTTCCTTTTTTTCCTTTCTTCTTTCCTTCCTCCCTCCCTCCCTCTCTCTCTCTTTCCTTTCTTTTTAAACAGAGTCTTACTCTATCACCCTGGGTAGAGGGCAGTCGCATCATTGTAGCTCAGTGAAACCTCAAACTCCTGGGCTCAAGTGATCCTGCTGCCTCAGCCTCCTGAGTAGCTGGGACTACAGGCATGCGTCACCACACCCAGCTAGTTTTTCTATTTTTAGTAGAGATGGGGACTTGCTCTTGCTCAGGCTGGTCTCAAACACTTGAGCTCAAGCAATCCTTCTGCCTCGGCCTCCCAGAGTGCTAGGATTACAGGTGTAAGCCACCATGCCTAGCCTAGGATTTTCTACATATACAATCAAACAATCTGTAAACAAAGACAGTTTTATTTCTTTTTTATCAATGTGTATAGCTTTTATATCATTTTATTGTCTTATTGCATTACCTGGAAGTTTCCAGTGCAATGTTGAATAGCAGTGGTGAAAGGGACTTACTTTCTTAGTCCTTGATCTTAGCAGAAAGGCTTTTAGTTACTCATCATTAAGGATGATCTGAGCTGTAGTTTTTTGTTTTTTGGAGGAGTTTTTTGTGAATATTCTTTATCAAATTAAGGAAGTGTCCCTCTATTCCTAATTTGCTGAGTTTCTTCATGATCATGTGTTGGATTTTGACAAATGATTTTCCACATTTATCAATATGATCATGTGATTTTTCTTCCTTAGTCTATCAATGAGATGGATGAAATTATTTAACTTTTAAATATTGAACCAGCTTGAATATCTAGAATAAATCCCATTTGGTCATTTTATGTAATTATTTTTATATATTTTTGAATTTGATTTGCTAATGTTTTTTGAGGACTTTTGCATATATATTCATGAGAGATATTGATCTGTAGTTTTCTTTTCTTGTAATGTCTTCAACTAGTTTTGGTATTAGAATATGCTACCCTCATAGATTGACTTAGGAAGTATTCCCTTTGTTTTCTGGAAGAGATTGTAGAGAACTGCTATAATTTCTTCCTTAAGTGTTTGGTATAATTCACCAATGAACCTTTTTGGGCCCGGTGCTGGGCCTGGGTCTGTTTTGGAAGGCTATTTTAATAGTTGATTCAATTTCTTTAAAAGATATAGGTCTATAAAGATAGGCCTATACCTGGCCTATATTCTACTTATATGAGTTTTGGCACTTTATTCCTTTCAAGAAGTTAATATAGCTATTACAGCTTTATTTTGGTTAGCATTAGCTTGATATTTCTTTCTCTATCCAATTACTTTTAATCTATCTGTGTTTTTATATCTAAAATGAGTTTCTTATAGACAACATATTATTGGACTTTGTTTTTTATTCACTGACAGTTTCTGTCTTACAACTGGTGTGCTTAGACCATTTACATTCTAATCAATTATTGAGATTGTTGGCTTAATGTCTGCCATGTTTGTAAAATTTTCTATTCATTGCTATTGTTTTGCTTCCTTTTAAAAAATTTTCCTCTTTTTCTGCCTTTCTTGCTTTAACTGAGCACTTTATTATCCCATCTTCTTTTCTCTTAGCATGTCAATTATACTCCTTTTTATATAAAAAAAAATTAGTGTTTGTCCTAGAGTTCACAATACCCATTTATATCTAATGTAAGACTCCTTTTCTGCTTCATGGGTATTGCAGGTATCTTTTAACTGAGTGTTCTCAATTCCTCCCTCCCATTCCTTTCAATGTTGCTATCATTCATTTCATTGATCCAAATGCTATAATCATTCAATATATTGTTGTTATTTTTGCTTGGAACAGTTATCTATTATTAATAGATCAAGTAAGAATAAGAAAAATAAAAGTTTTTATTTTAACTTTGCTTATTCCTTCTCTGACACTTTTCCTTCCTTTAGGTAGATCTGAATTTCTGACCTATATCATTTTTCCTGTCTCTGAAAAACTTATTTTTAATATTTCTTTCAAGGCAGGTGTACTGCCAACAAATTCACACAGTTTTTGTTTGAGGATGTCTATATTTATCCTTCATTTTTGAAAGATAATTTCACTGGCTTCTTTGAAGATTTTCTCTTTTGTCTTTGGTTTTTTTCAGTCTGAATATGATATGTGTAAGGCTGTTTTGTTTTATTTTGTTTTTGGTTTATCCTGAAAAGTGCTCCCTGAGCTTCCTGGATCTGTGGTTTGGTCTCTTCATTATTACTTCAAATACTTATGCTGCTGCTTTCATTATTTCATCTTCTTTTGGTATTCCCATTACACATATAACTTTTGTAATTGTCCCACAGGTCTTGGGTATTCAGTTCTTTTTCTTTGTTTAATTCTTTTTATTTATTTGCAGTTTGAGAATTTTTTACTGACATACTTTAAGTTCATAGAGTCTTTTCCCCAGTCATTCCAAGCTACTGATGAACCCATCAAAGACATTTTTCATTTCTCTTACATTGTTTTTGACTTCTAGCATTTCCTTTCAATTTTTCTTTAGAGTTTCTGTATCTCTGTTTACATTGGCCATCTGTTCTTGCATGTTGTCTACTTTTTCCAGTAAGTATCAATCATAGTTATTTTCAATTCCCCGTCTAGTAATTCCAAGGTCAAAAGTCTTTCTGAATATAGTGCTGATGCTTGCTTTATCTCTTCAGACTGTGTTTTTTTTTTTTTTCCTAGTCTTTAAGCATGCTTTGAAACTTTTTGTTGAAAGCCAGAAATAATAGAAACTAAGGTAATTATATCTGTAGGTACCACTTTGCTTTCCTCTAGTTTCTTTTTGTTGTTGTTGTTGTTTGTGTGTTTTTCCTCTGTTGTCTTTGAGCTTTTCTATGATGTCATTAAAGAGAGTCTGCATCTTAGAGTTCTCTTAGTTGTAATCTACTGTTCTTATGCTGGAGACTTCTAAACTGTAGGGGGGTAGTGTTCTACAATGTTATGATTAAATTTCAATTTTTTAGTGGGCCTGAATCCCTTGGCTGTGGCTTTCAAAAGTTTTTCTTAGCCTTTTCCCTACCTTACATGAAACTGGAAAGCTAAAGGGAGTTAGAGATGTCTAATTTTCCCTTCTCCCAGGTGAAACAAAGCTCTGGTAATCTGTTAATAGTTTCTCTTCGAGGGTATGTATTTGTTATGGAAAATACTCTGGAGGTATTTTTAAATGGTTACTTTTCCCTTCCTTCTGGAGAAAAAACTAGCAAACTTTTCTCTGATCTTCACCAAAAGAACCTGATGTGTCCTGAAGATAAAACCCATGATATTGTAGACCTCCCCCACAACTTAACACTGAGATACCAGGCATTTTTAACTCTCTTGCTAGCCCACATGAAATCTCCAGAAATTGATCAAAATTAGCACCTAAGTGTTCCTACTAGTTACCAGCTCAAGAATCTTCTACTCCTTTAAGCTGGAACCCATTCTATTAAGTGAAGTATCCCAAGAATGGAAAAATAAGCACCACATGTACTCACCAGCAAATTGGTATTAACTGATCAACACCTAAGTGGACATATAGGAATAACATTGGGTGTTGGACAGGTGGGGGGAGGGGGTGGGTATATACATACATAATAATTGCAATGTGCACCAACTGGGGGATGGACACGCTTGAAGCTCTGACTCAAGGGGGGGAGGGGAGAGAAGGGCAATATACATAACCTTAACATTTGTACCCCCCATAATATGCTGAAAAAAAAAGAGAATCTTCTACTCCCAATAAGCTGATTTCAGTTGTGATTCCCTATATTTGCCTGTCTCTCCAGACATTGCAGTAGTAACTTTTCCTGTGACCTGAATTCTCTGATGAATCTAAGAAAAGTCATTGATTATCAGTTTGTTTGTTTTGTTCTTATTGTAAGGATGGGAGTAATGACTTCCAATGCCTTTACACTTTAGTGCTGAAACCAGAAGTCTCCTCACATTTATTTTCCAAGCCATTATGACCTGGAATTTGTCATCTCTACTTCCAAACTGTTATCATAAAGTTATTATTGATATCTTGTTGCTAAACCCAATGTTTACACATTATTTTAAATCTTTATTTGACTGCTTTTAGCATTTGATATTTTAATCCACTCTTCTTCATGAAATTAACTTTTCCCTTGGCTTCCATGATAACACTATCATTTTTTCCATTCCTACTACTCTGGAAATTTATCTCTCCTTTTTAGTTAAATCTCTTTCTCAACTCACCACTTAACGTCTCTGAAGGTTCTATATTCATCCTTCTTATTCTAACTCATTTTCCATATATAATAATAATTCTAAAATTTGAGTCTGGAAGCCCTAAGCACCTAAAACTCATCATATCCAAACCTAACTTATCAGTCAGCTCTAGGAGTACTTATTTTACAAATAAATTTTATCAATGAAGTAAATATGAACCTACTGAATCTACACATGAGGGTCAACCACTGTACTTGCAGAGTTGAATTGGATGTATTCATCTTACAACAGACATTTAAGTTATACTTATTAGTGGGTATCTTTAACTATTGTGATCCCGAGCTGTAAGTAATTTCTATGAAAAGTCAAGTAATTTCTATGAAAAAAATACACATACCCGTATGGATTTTCTTCTTACATAAAGACAGCTTAAAGAATTTTGGAGGTAAGGGTCTTCGAAGAAGTTGTGGGTGCGTTTGCATTTTAACGAATAAATGCTGTTTTTCATAATTCTTGGTTTAAGTGAGAATTGAAAAGTTATTGAAAGTTTAAATTGTTGCTGAAAAAATAATGTATTAAAATCTATATTACATTTTAATGAAACTCATTCTGTGCTAATACCATATCAAATCCAAGCAAAATTCCTTTATGAAATAGAGAGGGTAAAAAAATAACTTTTGAAAACTTCTAGAAATACTCCAGATAAAATTTAGGCTTATAATTAATAGAGATTTTAAAATATGTATACTATTACTAGCCAGAAGCATTCTAAAATTCCCCATGTTACTATAAAGTTCAGTCTGCCAATGCTATTTCAACTAGTAAATATGGATTTTTCAGAATAGTAGAAATGACATTTTTTTTTCTGTTTCCAAAATCTTATCAGTATAAATTTAGAGTTTTTGGCCAAAAAGATGAGAGGGGTCCCCCCCCATTATAATAACCCCCAAATAGATTTATAATATATTATATTATAATTATATAATATATATTATATAACATATATGTTATTATATAAGACCAACACTATGAAACCATTCACAAATTTTCTTTCTATAATAATGACTTGTTTTAAATTTCAACCACTATATCTGGGCTATAACTATTTAATTCAAAAATAAGATGAACTTCACTATAGTATTTCCCAGGATTGCTGGGCATCTCAATTAGTACTGTTTAGAAATGGTGTGAGAAAATGCACCCTAAGTAATGTGGTCTTAGTTTGCAGGGCAACATCGAAAGTGCCTTGGCACATCACCAGTCCGTTGACTGCCAAGAAAGGAACACTTTGCACAAGTGGGCCGTTTACCGCCAAAAGATAACTTTGCACACAAGCACTCAAGGTTTGCTCCCTGGTAGCACGTTCCACTCGATGTTGGTCATTTTCCTTCCGTAGTACCGAAGAGATCCCTGGAAGTGTTGGACTTCCCACACTACCCTTTAGGACAATCAGCTGCTTCTGAAACCGACCAGCTTTTCGTCTTCCATCTCATTTTCCTTGGAATCTAGACAGCCACGGAAAGGTCCAGTGAGGTCGCGGGCCTTCCCGCAGGACGCTGTTCCCAAAGAAGCACCGACGGTACCCCCATCCCTCAGCACGGTGCTGTTAGAGGCCAAGGAGACACACCCTAGCAACAGCCGGCGGCCGCAGCGGGGATGGGGGGGGAGCCCGCGGGACGCGCATGCGCCGAGGGCGGGGCAGGCTCCAGGGGGCCCCGCGCGCTCCCGCGGAGCCGGCCCCGCCCCACTGCGCGGCGCGCGCTCGCCCTGCTCCGCCACCGCGGCGCGGGCGGCTGGGGAGGCTGCGGGCGGTGGGGGCCGGAGGAGAAGCCGGCTGGCTCCACGTGCAGCTGCTGTACGGAACCCCGTGGTGACAATTGTTATTACTATTCTTATTAAGCCTGGCAGTGACCACTCTGATGTATTTACTTTACTTGATTACTCCGCGCTTAACTCGGGTGTCTAGAAACGGGGCTGGCATTCTTGAATGCTGCACTTTTGCGCACCAGGTCCCTTTGCTAATGTTGAAGTGACAGGGGGGGAAAGCAAACATTCTGTTCTCTTTCTCTTTTAATGCAACTTGTTTTGTCTTTCCGATCCTTTAAAGTTCCTGGCTGAAGCGGAATTGCGTAGAAATAGGGGCATTAGGGATCTGAGCCAGCAGTAAAAGAAACTTATTGTCATAGTCATTTGTTCTGATTACCGTATTGTGACTTGTGTCCTCTGCCATGATGTTGATCAACCTGTGTGTACCGTGATGGACACATCGTAGGTGTTTGCAGGTATGTGCCTGTTTCTCTGGAGCTTTAAGGGAGAAAGAGCTAGACAACTCAGGTAGATGTGGAAACTCAGAAAGTAAACTAGATGGGGCTTCCTTCCGGGTATTTTTTTTTTTTTCCTTTAAAGTACAGGTGCAAGAACATTTTAACAGATGTTGGAAAATGAGACTTCTGTATAAATATCTTTCTAGCTTTGGGGATCTTTCAAGATTCACACCCTAACCTTTTTCTCCTTAGTAGCAAACATATTTTAAACAAATCAATGAAAAAAGTGGAAAAGTTAAAAAGTATTTCATCAGACTCTGGAAAATATTATGCAACTTGTTTTCCTTAAGAGTATTAGCATCTGGTTTCTTTTCCTTGTAAGATTACTGCGTCCGGATTAGACTTGCCCGTCCCAGACCATGAATTTATTCCACTTTCGCCTGTGTCTGTGTCAGAGATTGATTAGCTTCTCAGAAAGACAAGAAAACTGACAACAAAAAGTAGATCCGATGGCTAGGTTTAGTCTGCAGTAATAGATATTGTGCATATTTTGTAAATGTGAAAAAAATGAAGTTGGAACCGTAAGAACTACTGGAATTGAGTTGTACTGACAGATTCTTGGTCTTTAAAATTTACTCTTAGTTTTGTGTAGTCAAAATCAAGGCAATGCACTTTTCAATAATAAAAATTTTTGAAAATGCTTTGTCACATGTGGAATTAGCAGGCGTCAGGCTTCATTCCTTCAAGATTTTTCTAGCAAGTATAAGGCCAAAACCTAGGGCTGTTAAATATGTAACATCCTCAGGTGTGAACATTTTGTCTTCTACTGGTTACTATTTCTACCACTTAGTACCAGACATTTAGGCAAATAATAGTTACTATGAAAATTAAGTCCATGGCTTGATATGTTTTATATGTATACATCAGTTATTCTAACTTTTTTTACATGCTTTATATATGAAAATGATATACAGATATGTAGGATGGATTTATTATAGAAAGCAAAAATCACATTTGATGTGGGTTATTTTACTATTTTTTAGATTTATTTATTACTATTTTTGAAAATATTACTACCTCAATTCTCTGTCTTTTTTAAAACAATCATATTTCTTTGAAATAACCCTCTTTGATTTTAAGGGTCTAGGTTATCTGCTGTACTGGACAGTCCCCACCTTCATTCTATTAGCTAATTGTGCTAAGGATGCCAAGGTAATGCCTAACACCAAGGTTGTAGACACCCTGTGGGTTTTTTTTTTTTTTTTTTTATGTTGCTAAAATGAGATAAAAGCCTTATGCAAAAGCAACCAAGAGCATTCCTCGGATAATGCTATTGATTTCCATAATGAGTAGGAGATACTTGTGGAACCTCAGATTTGCTGTTGGTTCTGTTGGAATGATATAAAAATTTTGTTTGACGTCTTCATTATTTTCCACAGACCTCTCTCTTATTTATTTATTTATTTTCCTTTTAAACAGGACAGAGGTTTACTAAACAGTGTAGACTTAACCTAACATTTTACCTTGTGGAAATAACTAGAGTAATTTGTGTTTTTATGCTCATATTTTTAAAGATTCTTTTAAAGAATGAATGGTGATTTGTGAGTGCATATTGGTTCAACTGTTGAGTTCCCAGGGAAATCCAAGGCACTAAAATATATTTAAGAAGTGTGTTCTTAGTCTGAGTTTACCTGTTTACATTAATTATATGTACTGGGAAATGTCTAGTCTTCATCAGTCACAGTGGCTTAAATGTATACATTTACTTTATATGTTTTGATGCTCTTGCCTATAGAAAAGTTTTACGTGTTCTCAAATGTTAATAAAAACAAAAACTTCATTTCTGTTCTTCTTAATTATTTTTGGCCAGTTATTTCTTTTTGTCTTTCAAGATGATAGTTATTTCCTTTCCTTTGTTTGAACTAGAGATCTTGGGATTCCTTTAAGAAAAAAAATACTAATAAAGAAATTTCGTGCAAACTGCATCATGGAATTAAAAAGAAATCCCAAACATAACAAAAGGACAATGTCTGTTTTTAAAGTGTATTTATGAATTCAGTCATTCATTCCAGAATGATTTATTGGAAACCTACTATACATAAGTTACTTTGCTCGGTGCTGTGAACATTAAATCTTATTAAAACAATTTATATTGATTAATTTGAGGCTTTATAATTTAGACACTGAAATAAAATTTTAAATCATTTCCAAAGGCTTCACTTACATATAATTATAACTACTTTAGGGTCTTTTTAAAATCATTTTAACACATTTTTATTATGTTGCTTGGGAAGAATTATGTTACATATTCACACTACCTCAAATACTCCGACAAATTTTGTGTTTTCGTAGCTATAGTGATCATTTTAGACATATTTGTCTGCAACCAGCTAATGTTACATATTTGTATATATTATATGTTTGTGTCCTTCTCCAAAACAGTTAAGTAATATTTGTTTTTTAAGCATTTGGTTGACTAAGCATTTAAGCATGAGCAAGGTTTGTTACTATATGGAAGGCACAAAATGTTGATTTTGTTTTATCTTATTTCACAATTATAACATTAATTGAGAACTCTAGTATCTGCATCAAATTTCAATCAAAGGCGGCATGGCATAGCTCTGTTCATTTGGATTCAAATGCTGCGGCTGCCTCGTGGTGTCTCTGTGCTCTTGGACCAGTTGCTTAACTTCTCTAAGCCCTGGGGTTTTCCTCACCTTAAACTTGGCTTAAAATGGTACCTGACTAAGGGTCTTGTGAAGATTTAAAGAGATAATCTGTGTCAAGGGCTCAGTCCTCTGCCAGCCACAGAGTGAGTTTTCAGTAGATGTTAGTTGTTAGAAAACTTAACATAATAAAAACAAATGGCCCAAGTTTGCCATCTCCATGGTCCCTGCTTTACGTGATGATAGTTGATGTTAACCAAAATATTTGGAGGTCTATAAGGTAAATCCTGGGCATTTACCCATAAAATTTCACAATTAGTTTGCAAATGGCTCCAAATGTTGGAGAATCTAGTTTGCAGGTCTCACTCAGATTGTGACACAAATGCTTTGCTGTAGGCACATCCTACCTTCTGTCTCTAATCCTTATACTCCTTTGGGCCACAGAGGACCTGTGACAGCTTGTGCATGAAGGAATCCAAGTATGGTGACATAACTAAGGAGGTTTGACTCTTTGCTCACGTGAGTTGGGTCTTTGAGCTGCTGTCTGCATTGACTCAGCCAGGCTGAGTACGTGATGAATTTCGACCAGTATCAGAGGATAAAAGGTGCTTTGTTCTCAGCAGCCTCCAGGCCACTTGGTGAGCCTAACAAAGGTGAAAAAAGGGCTGCAATGTGAAGCTCCTTTGAAGAGGTAGAGGGAAAGGTGTTACAAAGAGACATAGTCTTTCTCAGGTTGTTCCTAATGTGCACACCCAACTTTGGGAAATGAAGTCTACTGAGTTCTTGGACTTGGCTGGGATTTAGTCCTAAACTTATGAGGAACGTGTGCTATGCCCATAAGGTACCTGAGTCTCATGCCTTCTGCGCAGCCCTCAAAAAACACCTGTAGTATTTAGAACCACGGGTGAGCAAAAATGCTTAGTGACAACTTATTCTTTGTTCTATTGTCAGTAGCAACCTATAACCTTCAACAGTAGGTATGATGGTTTGGTTCTCAAACCTAGCATTTTGCTTCATGCTCACTGTCTTAATTAAGTTTATGTTTTATTTGTAAGTGTAGTGAAGCTAAAAATTGTGTGTGGGAAGTTAGGTTGGGGTCGAGCACAGATTGCCTGGACATGTGATGGTGCATTAAATTCTCCGTGTTGATGAAGAACTTGTATTTCTTACACCGCAACTGGACAACTAGAACTGTAACTTCTGTTTTGGTATCACATAGTTTAGTATGCTTTTCACCATTCTGCTGCATTTCCAACAATTGCAATTCCCACCCTTACAATATGTTTTGTTGTCAGAAATGTTATCAGGGTTGGATTTAATAAAAATGTCAGGATCTTGCTTTTCTCTCCACCTTGCCCCAGGTAGTCACCTGCCTTGGTGGTACAGAGAAAGTTCCTTCATTTCCTCTGCTGGTTTTTCCAGGTGAAGTGATACCCCCCAAAGGACAAGGTATAGTGTTCAGCTCTATTCAGGAGCCATGGGGAGGACAGGTTGTGGGGCTTTATTCTTCCCTCCACTGCAATTCCAAGCAGAGCAGCTATGCCGTCATAAGTTTGACATAAGGCTGACATTGACATTGATATTAGGTTTGACATTGATATTAGGCTCTGCTTAAGACTTGCTTTGAAGAAAAGGTTAGCATGCAAACCACCAAGCTAGATGTTTTTAAGGTGTTTACAACCTTGAGACTTTGTGCTCCTAAGTCTCCTTGGATGGTACCTTGCCCT